CCACACACACACCCCAAACACACTCCACACATCAGACACACACAAAGACACTCCACACATTACACACACACACCACTCCAAACATCATACACACACACACCCCAAAAACACTACACACGTCACACACACACACACACCCCAAACACACTCTACACATCACACGCACACACACACACCAAACACACTCTACACATTACACACACACACCAAACACACTCCACATATCATATACACACACATGCCAAACACACACAACATATCACATACACAGACACACACCAAACACACTCCATACATCACACACACAGATACCCCAAACACACTCCACATCACACACACACCCCAAACACACTCCACACATCATACACACACACACACACCAAACACACTCCACACAACACACACCCCAAACACACTGCACACATCACACACACACTATGCACCACAACACACATACCATAATCACACAGAGACACACCTTGCCAACAGTTTCAGAGGGTTCCCAGAGGCCCGAGGCACACCCAGGCTCTAGGAGCCCAGTGCATTTTCCTTCACCCTCTTCTGGGCCCCTTTGATTTACTAGCACCTTAGAAGGGCAACCTCCACGTGCTTGCAGGGAACCCCCTCCATTAGCTCAGAGTCCCACTCATCTGAGGGAGGGTGTGCAAAAGGTGTTTCTAAGTGGGCTCTGAAATAAGCAGACCTGGGTTCAAATTCTCATCTGTTAATAGTTGTGTGTTGACTCGGTTTTCTCATCCATAAAATAGGAATAATATTTCCTCTTTCATAGCATGGTGCTGAGGGTTACACGAAATGGTCAGTGAATGAACCTTTCATATACTAATTGTGGGGAGGGCTTTATATGTATTAACCTTCTAAACACTTCACATATATTAACTCATCCAATCCTTCACAAGATAGCTATTATTAGTATTCCTGTTGTACAGATGAGAAAACTGAAACACAGAGAGGCCAAGTGGCTTGTCTAAGTTCACACGGGTAAGTGGCAGAGGCAGAATTCAAACTCATGTGGCTTGGCACAGCCCCTGGTCTTCCAACCACCGCACTATACTTCCTCAAACAGGCTTGCTCCCTTTCCCTTCCCTTGCTGACCCCTTCAAGGGAGGTCACTCTCTCCCTCCTGAAGTTCCATGGTGCCTCTGTCTTGGCACTTGCTGCCTCTGTGTTATGCACACTGGTAAATATGTCTGTCTGCCCACCTTGGCCTGCGCTCCATGGCGACAGGGCCTCCTATTCTGGCTTGGGCCCGAAGCTGGGTAATGGGGATAGGCCTGAACGAGGCAGGTACATAACAAAGCTGTGAAGTTGCCTCCCAACTTCAACATTTTGTAGCTATGTGCATGACTAAGTCAGTTAACTCCTTTGAGCCTCAGTATCCTCATCTTTAAAATGGGGATAATAGACATTTCTACCTAGGTTGATGGGAAGATATAATTGGCCAGTAGTCTAAAGTGCTTAACCCAGATTAGCTGTGCTCACTGCCCTGATGACCCAGAAGCCTGGAGGGAACTGGGCATCTGAGATGGTCTGGCTGGAAAAGCCCCTGGCTTATCAACACTGAGTCATAAGCCATTCCCTCTCAGACAAGGGCGAAGCTGGAGGGGGTTAGGCTCACCCCCCCAAGGCAGAGGTCCTGGCACCCGCCCTCACCTCTGCTGTCATCTTGGCAATGAGCCCTGCGGAGATGGCCCCGCTGAGCACGTTCCTCCTCAGGCCGGGGTTCCTGGGGTCCTTGAGGTTGCTGATCCGGCTACGCACACGGTTCCGGTACTTCATGTCGGTGCTCTTGAGCTCCTGGTAGATATGTGACACAGTCAAGGGCCAGTCAGCCACTCACAGAGGGGTAGAGAAGGATGGGGGCCCTCTCCCAGAAGCCCAAGGAACCCCGGGGCCATCCCTTTCTCTCCATGGACTTGTACAGGGATCAGGCACCTTGATGGCATCTGACTCCTCAAGCGCAGAATCTTACTTGGGTACCTAGGGGCAGCCATGTATCAGGGGCAGGAAACAGCCTCCATGGTGAGATCAGGTTGTAGCCAGCACTGTGGTGTCAGGGACCCCAGGAAGGGGCATCCTGGGTCTGAGCTTCTTGTGTGACCTCAGATGAGTCACATGACCTCTTTGTGCCTCTCTTTCCTTATTTATAAAATATAGGCCTGTTATGAGGATTCAGTGAGCCAAGCTGTGTGATGCACTAGTGTGGCATCTGGGACATATCAAGCACTCAACATACAGGGCATGTTAAGATGATGACAATGAGAAAGATAACCTCAAGTTTGGAAGGGCCTCTGAGGTTACGAGTCCAGCTATCAAAGGAAAATATAAGATTAGGAGCCACATGTTTAAGGCTCTAGAAAGTAGTGCAATAAAAAAATTGTTGCATTTCTTTAATCTGGTATTCCCAACACACTAGAGCATACAACCCCCTTCCCCACCCCTCTTTTCTCTAGCAATACCTATTGCCAGTCCATGGAACCCACTTCGGGAATTGCTAATCAGAGATACTTTTCTCATTAGTAGACAAGGAAGCTGAAGCTTGGAAAGGGTGCAGGTCCTTGCTCAAGGTCACAAGGCAAATTCCTGGCAGAGACAGGGCTGGAAGCCAGACCCGCTCCTGACAGTAATGCTCTCTCCACTCACCCGGCAGGAAATCGCCCCTGACCACCAACCACAGTGAGTTCTCTGTCCAGACACTGCATCCCGGACAGGTCTCCCACCCCCTCCTCCCTCCTTCTCCATCCTCTGGAGGAGCTCAGGGAACACAGCCCATTTTCTTGGTCTCCTAAGCCAAGTAGAATCAGGAAGACAAAGCCTTTGCTGGGAAAAACCATATACGAGAAAGAGATTGTGGGGAATGTGGGAAAATGGTAACAGCTGACTTGCTGGAAGTGGTGGGAGGGAAGGTGGTATTATTTCTTTCTTTCTGTTATTGTTGTTTTAATGTTGTTGGTACAATAAAAATGTGAAAAGAAAGAATGTGTTACAATGCATTTGCAAGCCAAAATATTTGTTAAAAAATCTGTTGGGGATTTCTGGAGGTGTGTGTCTTCTTGTCCTATGGGGACAGCAAACCCGGCAATCCTTTCACCAGCCTCAACCTCGCTGTCTGCACTTTCTGAGGTCCCAGAGGAGGCCGAGGAGGGGTGCAGTCACTGGGGTCACTGACTGCTCGGAGTTGCCCAGTGAGTCCCACACCTGCCATGTTAGGCCAGGGCCGGTCCAAAGAAGACAGATCTTTTTTAGAACACAGAGCATTCAAGCCCCCAAACTTATCCTCCCCCCAACCTTCCACCATCTCAGAACAAAGAGTTAAAAGGCTGCTGCAGCCCTGACTTCCTGTCCTTCAGAAGAGGGACGGACGTTCAGAGGAGGCAGAGAACAGGCCTTCTGAGGGGGAGTGCAGTGATGTCCGCCATCACCCCCTCTTGCTTGAAACTGGACTTGAAGATGGAAAGGGAGATGTTTGGAGGGATGACTGTTGCAGAGAAAACAAGGATCAAGCTCCTGATAGTTCTGATACTCCGTGTCTGTGTTCCTGAATTAACTGGAATCATGAAAATCAAGAAGTGCTGGTTAATAATTAAGTGATGGTGGAGGGAAACTCCGAGGAAATGAGGGTGGGCCTCAGGCAGGAGGCAGCAGGTTGGCCCCAGCCCCTCCCCAACAGACCCCACTGGGCTCCCTGGGTAAAGCCCAGGAGGCCTCATAGGGTCACTCCTGCCTCAGTGTGGCTCTCAGACCTTCAGTCTGCTTGGAATTCTGTCTCCCTCCCTCTACACCTCTTTGACATGCATAGCATTGTCCCTCCAGGAAAAGATATTCCACGCATTTATTCAGTGCACAGTAGGGAAATATATTTTGCCCCCAAAAGAAAAATCTTTTGGAGGCAATGGGCCCTCTATCACATGGGTGGTCAATCCCCCTTTCAGGCAGTGGGAGGATGGGATATATAGGAAGAGCTCAGGACATGGAATCCAAAGACCAAGGTTTTTAGTCCAGTTCTGACACCCAGCAGTTCCTAAGCCTCAGTTTCCTCATCTGTAAAATGGGAATAACTGCCCCTGCCCCACAGAGGTTGTTATGAGAATCAGCATAGGTAGGAAGTGTCAACTGCCTATCACAGTGCCTGCTCCATATCAGGGAGTCAAAAATGGAGCTGTTATCATCAGAGGCTGGAAAAGGGGGAAGGCTGAACATGAGAAATGCGGGACCTGCTGCCGGACAGTCCAGACACCCACAGCCCTCACACAGCTCAAGGATATGATCTTCAATTTCTGATGCCATCTTGTCACAGTTGACTCCATAGTCCTTGTAGTCATCTAAGAGATCCAGGAAACACAAACATTAGCCAGACATGACCTTGGCCATGAAGCCTGCTTGTGCAAGGGACTACAGCATCCTGCACCACCCCTGTGGTGCTGAGAAGCACGTATCTCATCTGACCTTGGGAGTCTTTCCCTTACCCACACCCCCCACCCGCCGCCTGCCCAGGCCCTCTCACCGTCCGCCTTCAAGGCTGCTGAGAGCATCTCCACACACTTGTCCCGGACAGAGTCCCCTGTGAGATAGCAGGGCGCCAGGAGGCAGACAGAGGGGGCAAAGGTGGGGGTGGAGGGGCTGCTGGGTGTTTTGGGGGTCTCCGCTTTTGATTTGCTGCTGTTTGATCTGAGGATGACAATCAGTAATAGACATGTTGATATTAAGCAAACCAAGCAGTTATTGATTGCTATTCTAGTGTGTTTTTGGGTAATTGCCTTTAATCCTCATAATAACCCTCTGATGTAGGTAGTATTTTGGGCACTTGGCATGGATCATCTCATTTAATCCTCAGAACAACCCCATGCAGTTGGTGCTATTCTTATCCCCATTTTAGTCTCACATTTGAAAGTGAATTTTAAAGATAGATGCATTAAATAATTTGACTGAGGTCAAACATCTGGAAACCGGCAGGACCAGAACCGAAACCCAGGCTCTCAGCCGACCACAGGGCCCTGCCGGTTACAGAACAATGCAAGAGCACCAGTGAGCATATGACAGCCCATCAGGCACTGTGCTAGCTGCTCTTTCTCTAAGCTTGCATTAAACCATTTTCTCACTCATTCAACAAAGGCTTACTAAGCACTCAGTCTCCAGGTCAGGTGCTAAGAGCAAGGGGTAAAGCAGACAAGTCAGAAAAACTCCCTCCCTCAAACAGCCTACAGTCTAGTGAAACGGAATTTCCCACCAGTTAAGAGGGCTGTTTTAACCACATGCCGGCCAATTTAGGAGCATTTTCTAATTAAATCCTCCCAGCAGTCCTAGGAGGTACATACCGTTATCATCCTCATTTGCAGATAATATAAGGAAACAGAGTTACACTGCTAAGATCTGCCTAAAGCTACCACTAAGATTTGAACCCAGGTCTGTCTGATTCCAACACTTATGCTCTTAGCTCCTATGATACCCTGCCTAAGAATGATCCCATTTTGGTTTGGGCTTAAAAAACTACAAATATATATACATATATGCAGATTGTTGGAAGGACAACCATGTGTCTTTTCCTCCTCTAAGCCACGCTCGGGCTACTGTCACAAAATATCATAGATTGGGTGACTTAAACAACAGAAATTTCTCACAGGCCAGGAGACCAGGAAGCCCACCGTCAGGGTGCTGGTCAGTTCGGTTTCTGGCAAGAGCTCCCTTCGTGCCTTGCAGAGAGCCACCTCCCTGCTGTGTCCTCACGTGGCGAGAGGGAGCAAGGGAGCTCTCAGTGGTCTCTGCCTGGTTCTATCCAACCAGGGCTCCACCCTTAGGACCTCATTTAACCTAATTCCCTCCATAAAGGCTCTGTCTCTAAATACATTCACACTGGGGGTTGGGGTTTCAACATACAAATTTAGGGGCAGGTCACGAACACTCAGACTATAACACTATGTTAACAGCAATTATCTCTTTGAGATGGGATTGCAGAAGATTTTAATGTTCTTCATTTGCTTATACATATTTTCTAAATCTCTGAAGAACGTATCTACTTTGGTAACGAGAAACTCTTTCTTTGTTGTTGTTTTCGTAACATTTGACAATCATGAATGGTCACTCTGTGCTGATGGCTCGGACAGGTTTCCTGCTTTCCTGTTCCCAAGGAGCTGCCAGAAGAAAGTGGAAGTGATCCCAGTATTGGGTTTCTTTTGGTAGATGAATGGAAAAACAAAATGTGGTAAATAATACAATGAAATATTATTCAGCCCTGAAAAAGGAACGGCCTCCTAAAATGTGCTACAACATAGACAAACTTTGAAGACATTATGATAATGAAATTAGCCAGACACAAATGGACAAAGATTGTATGACTCCACTTACATGAAGTACCTAGAGAATCAAATCATAGATGCAGAAAACAGAATGGTGGTTGCCCAGGGCTGGGGGAACTGGAGAGTTATTGTTAATGGGGATAGCGTTTTAGTTTGGGATGGATGGACAGCGTTTCAGTTCTGGAGATGGATGGTGAGATGGCTGTACAGCAGTGTGAAAAATGTGTTAATACTACTGAACTGTACACTTAAAAATGGTTCAAATGGGTAACTTTTACTTGTCTGGGAATTGTTTAATCCCTCCTTCATATTTAAATGATAAAAATGGGTAACTTTTATGTTATATATATTTTGCTATAATGAAATCTACAGAGTAAGTTCAATGAATAAGAATAGCCATGAAATGTGAAATACGCAATAACTGATGTCTTTTATATTTGATACATAATACATTTGAAATGATAAATATCTCTTTTCTCTCATGCTGCAAAAGTTAAAATGGCAATAATTTCATTCTAAATACCACAATAAAAAAGGAGAAAAAAAGAAGAAGGAAGTGCTGATACACGCGACCAAAACAACCAGGCTGAGGCTCCAACTTCAAGTGTTTTTGGTCCGTTCGGGTCCTCTTGAAGAGGGTGCTGGGCAGGCAATGTAACAAGAGGCATCCTCCAGCGTCCTGGTGGTGGCCTGAGCCCGATTCGCAAGGCCAGCCCTCACCACAGGGCTTAAGAAACAGTCAGACAGATCATACACTATGGTGCAATTTGGTTTAAGAAATTCAGCAAGGGATAGGGAGTAGGAGTTGGTCACTAGAGGAGCGGACAGGAAAATGCATTTTTGGCATAAAAGCAGTGAAGTGTGGAAGTCCATGGTTTGCATGGGCAATACTGAGGGGCTCAGGGCAGCCACAGCATGAGGGTGAGGAAGCTGGAGGGAAAGTATATGGACAGATTCTGGGGCTTTTTAAGGATGGTAATAACAAAAGCCACCATTTATTACCATGTACTGCCTCATTTTACAGATGAGAAGATGCGTAATAATTGTCCAGCTCGCTCCCTTACACTGCTGTTTCTGCACTACTGAGAGTCTTCTGCACTAGTCTTGGGGGGAGGGCCAGGTAGCCAAGATGTCTCCACCTTCATCTCTTGGCTCTTCCCAGTCTTCCCTTTTAGTAACCCATCAGGATCTGCCAGCAGCCCTCATGCCTCCTAGAAAAATCTGACTCATCGGAGTTGAAGAAATCAGGGTCCCCTCCTCCACTCCAGGGAGCCCTTGTATAAGGTCCCAAAGGGCTGCTTGGTTTCCTCACCCAGGGGGTCCTATTCACATGATCACTGGGCTATTTCTTGAAGTTGTGCAGTGCACAGACTGGGCAGCTGCACCAGCTCTAGAGCTATGGATGCACTTGTTCCCTTCAGGAAGATGACGCTAGCCTTCTGAAAGTCTCCTCGGGCCAGAGAGTGGGGCTGACTGAGTAGCCCAGTCTTCCCAGAGTCAGAAATCTGGGGTTACAAGAGAATCCCACCCAACATCCCGCTGAGCACTCTTCCATGTAGATTCTGTCATCGATCTCCTTGTTCCCCCCACCCTTGCTGTTTGGCCTGAATTTTGGTCGCTTCCATCACTACAGACACCCTTGCACCCCTGGGACTTTTGTTTTCTCTGGAGCTTTGGGGTTCCTTGAAAGTGCTGCCACAGTAGTCGGGGGAATAGGAGAGGGAAGGCTCTACTCTTATTAAGGTTTACATTTTGATTCCCCCAAATTTTATCCAAAGGGATTCCCTAGCTTTTTTTTTTTTTTTTTTAATGCAGTTTAAATCTCCCCATTCCAGACCGACTAATCCTGGATTCCACACAACCCTGCCTGACAATGGCGTGGCCTGGCAGGGGTGCACAGGGATGGGAAGCTCCTGGAGTCAGGTTTCAGCTAGAGGGAAAGGTGTGGGTGAGGTAAACCTGGGAAGGCTGCCTGCAACCAAAACGAATCTCCCTGTACTCAACCCTAGTCCAGGCCACAGGCCTCTCATCTTCACAGCCACAGCTGGTCTGTGGCTAAGGTTGGTCTCCCTCTACATTCTCTTGTCTGTTTTACAATCTATTTGCCACTTAGAAGCCTGGGGAATCCTTTCAAAAATTCACAGTTGATCTCATCACTTCCTTGCTTCTGACCATCTAATGGCTTCCAATTATTTTCAGCCTAAAGTCAAACTCCTCCCCATGGACTCACAGCCCCTCCATATCTAGCCCCTGACTCCCCTCTGGCCTAATCTCATGCCATGCTCCCCTCACAGTTCACTGAAACCCCCTCACTGCCCTGCTTCTTTCTGTTCTTTAAACACACTTGTCTCACCCACCACAGTGCCTTTGCACTGGCTGGTGCCTCTTCTCAGAAGCCTCTTCCTCCTCCAAATTTTCCTATGACTGGTCCCTTCCCATCCATTGAGCCTTGGCTCAAATATCACATTCTCAGGGAGTCCTTCCCTGACCACCCCAGACAAGGGACTGTCCCTGCCCTGTAACTCTAGCACATGACCTGATTACTTTCAGTCATAGCACTTATCCAAGTCTATAATTAACTTTTTTATGTGTTTATAAACATTGTCTGCCTCCATCTCCAGATTATGGGTTCCAGAGTATAGGGACCCTGCCGGCTGTCTTCCAGCACCTGTAACAGTGCTCCAGGTGGGCACTTGGTGAATCTTTGTTGAATGATATAGGGTAAGTTGAGGGAGCTGGCCACAAAGAGATGACAGGCACACCGAGGGGGTCTAGACAGAGCTGAACTGGGCAGGAGGCAGGTCCTCTTAGGAAGGCCAGTGGCCCCACTCCCTGGACTTGGGAGATCTATCTCTGAGCCAAGATCTGTCAGCTCCCACAGCCTGGGCCAACCCATCTCCTATAACTGTCATGGAGCCTCAGATTCTCCCTGGTGCTGCCCCTCACTGACCCGTGTGCCCCATCACTACATCCTCAATGTCTAGGACTCACCTGTAGGGAGCTGGCAGCAGGCAGCCTGTAGTGATGCTGCTTGGAAGGAGGCATAATGACAAACTACAATCATGACAGTTTTCATTTGGGGAATGCCTACCGGAGGTGTTATATTTATTAAGAACTCAGGTTCCAGAGCCAAACTCCCAGGTGCAAGCCCCGACACACCACTTCGCAGCTATGGGACCTTGGGTGAGTATCTTAACCTCTAGGTGTCTCAGTTTTTTCACAGGTAAACTGGGGATAACAATAGTATTCATTTTATAGAGTTGTTGAGAGGATTAAAGCACCTAAGAGAAATGTGGTAATGAAGTATTAGGCCATTTGCATGGATTACCACATTAAGTGTATTATTACTAAGAATTATGTATTTATTGAGCACTTACATGGGTTGGGAACAGTGCTGAGCATTTCATTACATCATTTAATCCTCACAATGACCTTGAAAAAGGATCATGATTATCCCCATTTTACAGATCAATGGCTGAGGCTCACAGAGCTGAAATGACTTGCCAAGGTCATGCAACTAGCAAATGGCAGGGTCAGACCACAAACCTCAGTGTGCCTGCCTTCCAAATTCTTTTCAACACATCTCACTGTGTCTCTGAAAGGCAGAGAGTTTTCCAGAGTCCCCTTCCCCGGGCTAAACTAGGCTGCTTGCTGCATTGTTTCCCCACCTTCTGGCTGGACATTCCCAAACCCTGGTCCCTCCTCTTGGCCAGTTGCTAGCTGGCTGGCTGGAAGTCGTGTCTGGGTGGCTTTTCGGGCAGCCACGTTCATTTTGCTTTCAGTGCACACAATTGGCAACTGCAACAAATTTCAGAGAGGGCATCACTGGCAGAGGAGGGGTAAGGGGTTGGATTTATCAACAGCTTGCTTCTGCAACCTAGATGTGCCAGCGCCCGCACCGTCAAACCCTTTGAGAATACTACCCCCGGCCGAGGTCAGAGCAGAGGCACCTGAAGACCCGGCTTGCTGCTCCTGCGCGCCACCTGGAGGACAACTCAGTTACTGCATAGCCAAGCATGAGTAACTGCTCGGTAAAAACAAGTCAACCAATTCTGACAGCTGGGTCCTAAGGACAGCTAATAGAGTGTAACCTTCTCTCCTGTCACAGCGGTGCCCTTTGTGATCTGTTCCCTGTTGCTCCAGCTACAGTTCCCAGAGCAATGCTCACTGATACTACCACACAGTTGCATGTGCCATTCCCACTCCTGGGATGCCCTCTCTTGGCTTGTCTACCAGGCAAACTTCTATTCATTTTTCAGTTCTCAGCACAAATACTCTCTCTTCCATAAAGTCTCCTTTGACTTCTCACATTATCTTGAGACACTCTTCCTATGTTCCCACTGTGTGTTATACTTTCAAAAACTAAGTATTTTGGTGTTTGCCTCTACACTAGCTGTGGGAAGCCAGAGATCGCGAGTTTAAATCTTTGCTCACACTGAGAGATGGTTTCCTAACTGGTGGGCTACAAATGCGGGGTTTTTTGCCCTGCTGTGTCTTAGAAAAAATATGAGTACATTGCCAATGTTTAAAATTGGGAGTTTCACATGAAAATCTAGATGTCCAGCTTTCTTTAAAAAATTGGGAGACATGGCACACTGGGTCTGCAATTCCATAAAGCAATAACCATCTGGGACTGGGTCGTGGGTGCATCCTTTAGACAAGTGGCTTGCCATGTCTGCAGTGTGTACACATGCCCCTGACCCCTGGAGGATGTTGAATTTGCAAGGAGATGCTTAACAAATGTGATCCCTGAATGAGTGAATGAATGAATGCATGGATGGATGAATGGATGAATGGGTGAATGGGAGAGATAAAATAGAGAGGTAGAGAGAGAGCTCAGGAAACAGTCTGGATAACAGATAAAGTGAATCTCCAAGACTTGTTTTGGTTCCTTTGGGTTCCCCACCCCCAATACTGAGCCAGCCCGAAATGGCACAGGGCTGGAAGGACAAATATATTCTGCTTGACTGACCTTCACTGAAAGAATGTATTATGAGAGGGAGCCAGGAGACTTCCAGGCCAGAAGGCAAAGTCAGGAGAGGAGTTTGAAGGTGTAAATCCTCACACAAATGTTGAATGTTTTTATTATAACATCAGACTCGGAACTAGATTAGTGGTCAGTGTTTCATCTGGGAATAGGACAATCCTTCATTATGCATGCATGTCCTTTCCAGGACACTTAGCACCTCTGGCCCCTGCCTGCTAAATGCCATAGTGCTCCTCCCCTCTCCCATTACAGGCTGCATGTTTGTGGTTCCCCAACCCCCGAATACACCTGTTGAAGCCCAACCCCCAGAAGCTCCAGCCCCTTTGGAGGTGAGGCCTTTGAAAGGTAATTAGGTTTAGATGAAGGCAGGGCCCCATGGTGGGAATATCATCCTTATAAAAAGTGCAAGAGAGACCAGAGTGCACTTGCACACACACACACACATACACACACATACACACACACACCCTCTCTCGGTTATGTGCAGACACAGGGAGACAGTGGCCATCTGTAGGCCAGGAAGAGGCCCTTCACCAGGAACTCAATTGGCTTGTACCTTATTTTAGACTTTCCAGCCTCCAGAACCATGAAAGATAAATGTTTATTGTTTAAGCCACCCAGTTAGTCCATATTTTGTTTATAACTGCCCAAACTGACTGAGATACCCCAAATCATAGTGACAACCAAAAATGCTCTGTTGAGAACCACCAGTGTAGAACCAGGATGACACTGGAGTTTCCGCTGTTAGGCCTCACTCATGGCAGACACTGCTAACCGAGCCCAGACCTCTCCTCAGAGGGAGGATACAGGCTCAGACCCCCATCTAAGCAGCAGTCCAGAGAGTGTGCCCTCGCCAGCTGGAGCTGGCACACTGCTGCCACGTTGGGACTAGGCAACTCAGCAGCCCTGTCACATCCCAGGTCTTTGTAAAGTCCTAACCAACTTATTTTTCGTGTGTGTTCTCTTCTTCCAGTGGTAGTCTTACAGTACAATAGGCCTGAAATAACTGTGTATCTACTACATAGACTCTCCTAGAAGCCAACACCCTTGCTGTCCCACCTGGTTGCCCCAGCATCCATTATGGCCTCTGGATCCTGATCATTTGCCTTGATCCACTGCTAAGCCACTTTCTGGCTGTTTCTCCTGCTCTGACCACTGACCTCCCTCCTGGACCACAATTCACACTCACTTCTTTAACCACAATCTCTCCTAAGTTTGTGGCTTCAAATGCTAGGTACATTGTGATTGATTCTGAAATTTATATTTCCAGCCCAGACTTCTTTCCTGAATTCCAGCCTGGTATAATTTAACTGCTTATTCATCTTCTCCACCTGAATGACTAGTACACTCGTCAAATCCAACATACCTAAACCTGCACTCTTGATCTCTTACCACAGCCTGACTTACACCCAGCCTTCCCCACACCAGTTAGAGGCCACTCCATCCTTGAAGAGGCTCAAGAGAGAAGTCTTGGAGTCATCCTGACTTCTCATTCAGTCTTTCAGGAGATCCTGTCAGCTCTCCCTTCCAAGGGTACCCGAGTCCACACTTCTCCCCACCTCCACTGCTGTCACCCTGATCCAAGCCACCAACATATCTTGCCAACACTACTGAAACACCCTCCTGGCTGGTCTCTCTGCTTCTGCCCTCGGCCCCAGCAATCCATTCTTGGCACAGCAACCAGAGGGATCCTGATAATGCCCACACCTAATGCCCTCCAGTGCCTCCAGTTCTAATATGCCCAACTCATCCCCCTCGCCCCCTTGCTGCAGCCCCACTGGCTACCTCACCACCCTTTGACCCTGCCAGGCACCCTCCCACCTCAGGATCCTTGGTTTAGAATGACTCCAATATCTGCATGGCTAATTCCCTCATCTCTTTCAAGTTTTTGCCCAAAGAGGGCTCTCCTGACCCCCAGGGACCATCCTTCACAGACCCTCCACTCAGCTCTGTGTTTTCCATAGCACCTGTCACCTTCTAAACTGCTGCACAACTTACATGTCGTTTGTCTCCCGCTATTAGAATAACTGCCTCATGACTGCAAGGATTTTTGCCTCTTCTGTTCACTGCGGTATCTTTGGTACTTAAAATGGCTCCTGGTACAAAGTAGGCCCTCAAAAAATATTTGATGCATATATGAGTTAATGATTTACACTATTCAGGATAAAGATCCTAACCAGTTTAGCCCAAACCTGAAGATTCCACTCCAAGTATAGGCTCTCAAAACCCCCTATCCTACTGGGTTCAACTTGACCTGAGAATGTTCCCCAGACAGCAATGGGGCGACAGGGACTGGTCAGCCACCCCAGTGAAGGAGGCATACCTGTGACTCAGTCTTACTGTGTGGGTCCTAGAGTTTGGAGACAACATAAGGTATGAATTTTCCTCCTCGTCCCTGCCTTGGGCTTCCTGCATGAAAGCAGAGAGAGGCACACGTGCTGGACAGGACCTCTGGAACGGGGAAGTCCAAGGCGTCCTTTACCTTTCCATCGATGGCCTTTTTGGAGAGGAGGTGGCTGAAGACTTGGAGTCCACAGAATCTCTCCTGAAAGAAGAGAAATTGGAGATGAGACTCCCTTGCAGGCTAGCAGCAGTACTGATCTAGAGACATGAGGGACGAGGGAGAAAGCATCTGGGGCCCAGCCTGCTGGGCTGTGGATGATGGAGCTCACCTGGGCCTGGGAGAGCAACTCCAGGCGGTGCTGGCTCGTCACCCCCACCTACCCTCCATCAGATAACGCAGTACACGGGAGGGTAACCTAAAATGTGCCAGACTTGTTACATGTGGCATGTCATGTATTACTAACTATTCCTAATTCTCAGCAGGCCCTTCTCCTCCCTGCTGTCAGGCAGGCCCTGGCTAGCTAGAGTCTGGGAAGATTGCCTGTTCTCAGGAGGAGCCAGGAAAGATCAGCTTCCGCCTTCCCTGCAGGCACCCTAGGGGGAAAAGAGGAGAAGAACAAGGGCCTTGGAGATAGAAGAGCTATGTTAAAATGGCAAGTGAAAAAGCAGGGTGCAAAACTAGATGTATACTGGGCCTGAAGTCATGCAAGAAAATCAATGCCTAGGAAGAAGAGATTGAAAGAAAGTACACCCAAATGCTAACCATGGCTGTTTTAGGGTAATGGGATTAGAGGTGAAATTTGTGTCCCCATTTTCTAAAACGCATGTAGCTACATTCTTTCCATTGATGTATATTGCATTTTCCATTTTTCATTGGTTTCATAAACCTAACTTGCTTGGAAATTGTAAACCACCCCACTCCCCAGCTCTCCCCCTAGCTCTCCTTTTAATTCCACTGTATATAAGTATATATAATATTATATATATTGTCTGACCAGCTCCCATTAAATTCAGGAAAAGCAGAGTTCAGCGGGGTTTGTTCACTGCGGTGCATGCTGTCTGTGCTGGGCCCGTGTTCCCTCAGGCCCTCACCCTCCCAGGGCACCAAGACCCAAGGGCTTCCTCCTGCCAGCTCTCCCCGGCCTCTGGCTGAGGGAGTTCCCCATGCGGCCAGCACCAGCGGGCAGGTGGGCTCGGAGTTAATGACCCCAGGAGCAGCTCTCCACCAGACACCTGGGGATTGGTGGATAAATACCCCAGTTTCCTTGGCCCTCAGGTGGGTCAACCTGAGGTGTGTTCTCCACTGCCTGCAGGATTCCCCAGGGCGACAGGATTGAAGCCCTGGCCACTCACCCAGGTACCCACTAACACACCCTATGCTGGCTTCATTCCTTTCCTGTCTCACCCCCTCACTCATCCATCTGCATTTCCTGAAATCACTTTCCAAATAAACCCCTTGCAGCTATGTCTCGGGATCTGCCTCTGGGACACCCAATCCAATAAGTTCACTGACTTATCCCAAGAGAATAGAATAGTGCCTGGCATGCAGGAGGTGCTCTAGAAATATTTATTGCTGAATGTTTTAAAGTCAAAGGGTACAGGAATATGAAAACTAAAAGAAGTGGGAAAAGAAACCTCCCCAGAGGTAATAGCTATTAAGTTTAATGTCTTTTCTTCTAGATCCATTTCTACATGCATACAAATATCTGTGACACTGATCATTCTAAAAAGGGCGGCGATGACACGAGTTGCCATCCCAGCCCTGCCCCTGCACAGGTCATCTTCTCTGAGCATCGGTCCCTCCTCACCTGTCCAGTGGGGAGAAGAGCACCTAACTCTCGGGGCTGGCTGGGAAGAAGACATTAGATCGTTTATGTCCTTACAGTGGTTCCCAGTACAAAGAAGTACTCGGTGTGATGCTCCATATTCCCAGGCACCTGATTTCTGGTTTTCCAGATTGTGCAGTGTTCCTGGATGGATTTCCAGCTCCCACCTCATCCTCCAGAGGGTCTGGGAGAGAGTGGGTGAGGCAGCTTCAGGGTACAGCCCTAATTATCCTGTGGGCCAGAACACCCAGCTATGGACCCACACCCCAGCTTAAACACAGGGGGAAGCAGCAAGAGCGACCCTCCTTCACATGCCCCTCCGATTCTACACTGGGCCCTGGGAGTTCCTCTGGGGGGTTCCTCCCTCCGTGCCCCATGGAGATGGACAGGTGCAGACCAGAGCAGAAAGCTGGAATTTTTGCAGCAGAAGAAAGGAGGGAAGACTTGCACCTCTGCCCCCAAGACTCACCATTTTCCAGCCCTTCCTCATTGCTGTTCTTTTTAGAACAAACAAGAAATATTCTGCAGCTATTGCAAATGATTGTTATGAAAACAATTCAGCAGCAAGAAAAAATGCATTGACTGCAACAGGGAGATAAATAACCAGGGAGATAATAGTTTGTACATTCTGCCTGTAAGAATGGGAAAATTACGTAAGTAGATCAGGACTGAGAGGGAAGAAGAGAAAATAAAAGCTGTTTTATTCATTGCAAGTGGCACTCTGTGGACAATTATTTCTCATTTTTATTTTAAATTTCACTAACCTGGTTATAGTGATGTTATAATGAGTGATGATAATGAATTATCACTTAGAAAGATGAATATAAAGGAAGTTCACCAAACAAGCTGCATAGGACCCCTGCCAACTTGATTCTTACAGCAAGGTGGGGTTCCAACCTCTGCAGGCTCTGCCCAGCCACAGTGATGGCTTCATTTCATAGCTCCCCGACCGTGAAAAGTAAGCCAGCATTAACAATTCAGCCTCTAGGGAAAACGTTCAAGATGTTGTTAAATGTAAAATGCTGCTTACAAAGCAGTATGTATAGTATGCTTCTAATTTCATTAAGAAAAATATAAATGTACGAATGTATGTTCTTAAAAGATGAGAAAGGCATAGAGCAAAATATTAACTGTGGTTATTTCTGTTTTCTTCTTGTGTAATTTTCTAAATGTTTTACACTAAACATGACTTACTGTTGAAATAAATATACGTATGTGAAAAGGTTACATAATAGTGTATAGGGTATAATTCCATTTTGTTAATATAATAAGTATTTATAGGTGGTGATGATGCATAGGAAAAAGTCTAGAAGGATATAAAAACAATATTTATATGCACAATTATATGTATGTGATTTTATATATATATATATATATGTGTGTGTGTTTGTCTCTAGGGTAATGGATGACTTTTTTATTTTCTTATGTGTATTTTTAAAACTTTCTACAATGAACAAGTAGTTTCCTGTATAATAAAATTAATGTAATATGTAATAGTTAAAGCAATAAATATAATTAAAATGTATTACAAATAAAACATTTTATTTTTAAGAAGAAAGAACTGAGATAATGATGCCCATTTTTCAGGCCACAATACTGAGTCCTGGGGTGAAAATGATCCATTTCAGCCCAGACATTGAATTTCTGCTTTCCAACTGTCTCCCTTCCCATCCCCATTGTCCCTGTAGGCTTTTAAAAGAAATTCCTTCAACTGATCATTCAGTAGGATTTGGGACAAGAGCAAAAGGAAACACCTGTGCTCAGGCGCCATCACTACCAGACGTCTACACTCCTTATTGTACAGATCAGCCCATATCTCATTTGCTCTCCTCTCTCAGCAGTCCAGTCTCTAGGCTTCCAACTTCATCTCACAAGAGCCCTGCCCATCCTGGTCCTTCATTTGCCAACGTGCTCAGAATCAAACAGGTGCTTCGGATATGACCATCCCAGCTGGAGCACGAATGTCCACAGGGGACACACTGGTACAGTTGGGCCCAGAAATATGGTGTTAACTCTGCGCTGGGCATGGTGTAGAGGCTCAGGGGATCCCTGCCAACCAACCTGTTAACTCATTTGTGAAAACAAAACACACTATGTGAAAAGTTAAATGCCAATTAAGATCTTCTCCAAGCAGGATATAATTGCAAAATGAGGAAAACGAAAGGAACAAAACACAGAAAAGGTTAAATAACCACTTGACAAATACTATATTTTAGAAACCAGGTTATAAGGGAATGGGGGAAATTGGTGAAGGGGATTAAGAGATAGAAGCTTCAGTTATAAAACAAATAAGTCATGGGGATGAAAGGTACAACAGGGACATATAATAATATAATTTAGTAATCTAGTAATATAATAATACTATAATAATGTGGTATGGTGACAGATGATAAACTACACTTATCGTGGTAGCATTTTGTAGTGTATATAAATCACTATGTTGTATACCTGAAACTGTTATAATATTATGTTAACACTACTTCAATTTAAAAAACAAAACAGACTACAAAATTGGTAATAACTATAGAAAACAAGCCAAAGAGAGAATACAAAGAAAAACCACATACTAAAATATAAAAAGTGATTGTCTCTGGGTGGTGGGAATGTGGGTGATTTTTCCTCCTACTTTTCTGTATTTTCCATTATTTCTACAACAGATTTTTATCACTCTCATTTGTTTATTTTTTAAAGTGTGATTATTTGTTCTGATTTCAAAAGCAACACAGAATCATTGTTAAAAAAAAAACCAACAATACAGATTTTTAAAATTTATTGTATAATATAGGATGTGAAGCTCTTCATTACAATCATACAGATTTATATATATATTAAGAGTTTCATTATTTTTTCCTATTTCAAAACTAGTACATATTTGTTATTAAAAAATTGGACAGAAATTTATAAAGGGAAGAAAAAAACCCTCTCAATCCTACCACCCAGAAGTAAATCACTATTACCATCCTGGTGTATATACTTCTTGTCTTTTTTCCTATGCATACACATAAAATCCACTCAAAAAAAAATGGAAACAGGATGGTACTATATATACCATACACAGCTTCTCCTAATACTTCGTGAAAATTTTCTCATGTCATTAAACATTCCTCTATCTGGTAGCACCTCTCCTCTCCATGGGGGCCCTAATGACATGTGAACATAATAAATGGCCCTTTAATGTGTGGGACTACTCTGTGCACCAAAGGATATTAAGGATCCCTGCCTCACAACCAAAAATGGGAGTAGTGTGGCAGAGGAATATCTCCCTCTGTCAAGAATCATTGCTCTTATAGCATCATTTCCTAAAGTATTTTCTGCAGAACACTTGACTTTCAGGATTATAATAAACATTCATTTAAAAAAAGGTCCAGAAGTTGAAAATGTTTCAGAAATGCCAGTAGAAAAATGTCACGCACAGAACATATAATCTTCATGCTTTAATTTGATTAATCCCTTAAAATAAATTCTTTATAGTAGATATACTGGGTCAAAAAGTATATACATTAAAATGTTGATTATATCACAACAAATGTTGATATAACACATCTGCGTTACCTAGTATTATGTGGCACCATCAGATAATAACCAGTATTACCTAATTACCAGATAATTACCAGTATTCACCCCCTTATCTATTGGATGAACAAATGAAGATGCCTCACCCAAGGAATTAAGTGATCTGGTAGTCATGCAGGGAACAGGGAGGACTTATTTATACACCCATGAAGCTTTTGTCTGTCATTATGGATAAGGCATTTCGGGTGTACTTGAAAGTCATGTGATTCTGGGGGTTGTTCCTGGGCTGGGCAAGGGGGAATGGGCATGGGCAGCTGCTCTGTTCCTCTCAACAGAGTCTAGGGCTCTGACAAAGATTAGAATCCCTCTCCGGCACATAACAGCTGCCTTTTCTTGGGAAGGTTCCTGGTCCCCAGCCTTCAGCTTCCTCATCGCTAAACAGGAATTTTGAATAAAGAGCTAACAGAACACTTTCTCTTCTCTACATTCAAGTCCCTGGTCCCATTAACCTGGGATCCTGATAGAGGTGGAGTGTCGTTTGTGTTACTAGGCACCATTGCTCAAAGTGCAAATAAGCCCTGATTGGTAAATTATGTCTAGAGAGGAAGGGCTCTGAATGAACTATGAAAAAGTAGTGGAAAACCACAGCTCTCGGGCTGCCTCGCGGGCAGTGAATCCTCTAACTGGTTATTGCCCTTTCTGGGATCCTGGGAGCTTTTTCTCTGGGGCTACCATAAGATTTAGGACATGGGGCTACGAAGTCAGGAGGTTCCCACCCGATGTGGTCTCCTTTCTCTGCACCTGGGCTGTCACCTGGTTGGGTCACAGAATTCTCTGGCTCCTGTGTGGTCGGCTATGAGAGCTCTTCCTGATGAGAAATGCCTAAGGTTGTCCCTGCATCCGTCTAGGAGAAGCCAGTGTCAGGCATGGCCTATTTGGGTCTATGAGTCTGCCAGGTTGAGCCAAAGCGGATGCCCAGAGGGCACTGGAGGAGATCTAACAGTAGCAGTAACCACCTTCCCAGGCCGTGAGGTTTAAATGAAGTTACATAAACAGAGCTGCTGGCAGAAGGTATGACAAGCATCGGCCCCCTTCTCTCCATCCCAGAAAAAAATACCTGTCTTTTGGCTCTTCTCTTTTTTTCCTTGGTGGAGAAAGGCCTGCCTCTGGCTTCCAGTCGGAACAGTCAAGCCCCTTTTCCTTCTTTGCTTTTTCTCTTTCTTCTCCTTTTTCTCCTCTGGGGGGCCCAGGGGAGTCTGAAAACAAAAAGGTGGCATTGTTCCTCAGTTCAGCTCAGTCTCAGCAGAATACAGCACGACTCTGGAGAGGAAGGAGCAAAGGGGAGGGACAGGGACAGCTGTACACCCACCCAAAACACATGCACCCACACAGATACATATTTATACACAGATGACTATGCACCTATATGTGCACGTCCGTGCTTACACAGGGGGACAGAAAGAAATCTGTACACATATTATGCACATATCATACAAATGTATATATATATATAGACATGTGCTATATATACCCACATGCACACAGAAATACATCCATACATAGGCTCACACATCTACAAATCTCACACTTGTGTAGACTAACACTGGCACTCCCCACCTGTCATTTATTAAGTCATTCAACAAACATACACTGAGTGCCTGATGTGAGGTAGGCATGCTCCCATACCAGGTCCTGGGAGAAAAACATGGCCCACACCCACCTTGCCCCCTCTCACCCAGCAGCCGTTTCCAGTTCTTGATGAGGACTTTGGCCAAGGACACCACTTCCCTGTCTGAGCAGTGCTTACGGACCCCATTAACAGCAACTCCAATCCTGGTTGTCTGCAAAGGAGAGGGTTAGGGGCTGGTCTGGGAATGGCCACAGGATTAATGGCCCTAATTGGCAAGACCTGCCCCACTTTAACCACCAGCCCCAGCCACTCCAGAGCCCCAGGCCTGCTCTGTAGCTGAGGTGATAACCGTGATACTATAACTGAGGCCCTGACCTGCAGCCCCTGTGAGGCCCAGTGCCCAAGGCCCAGCCCCTGCGCTGCTGGATAACTGCAGCTTTGGGGAACCTGAGGAGGCAGGCAGGCTTGGCTGATGCTGAGAACTCCTCCCCATACCCCCCGCCTGGTGTCTTTGAGCTCAAGTTTCAGCTTAAGACAGCTCTGGCTACTACAACTTGAGCTGTGCTACATTTTACAGGGCCAAGAACGTCTGCTAAATTTGGGGGTTACATGGGCAACCCAGGGAGGATAAAAAATGGGGGCTTTTCCCTGTCCCTGGATCACTGCCTTCTTGGATCCCATAGACTGAGGGCCTTGGGAACTGGGGTATTCAAAGAAAGCAAATCAGTCTTTCTCCCAGACCCAGAGGACCCTTGTGCTTGGATGGTGCCCTGCTCCCATCTAAGGCTTCAGTCCCCAACCTCAGAGCACAAGCATCCCCTCCCCCTGCCTCCCTGCAAAATCCCTTCCGGACCCCATCCTTAGAGGCCCCCCCCCCCACCAGGGTCTTTCCCTTCCCCGGGTCTCTTCCCCCAACCCCCACAGGTGCTCCACCCCACCTGGAGTAGCTGGATGGACATCTGACAGCTGTTCAGCTTCTTCAGAAGGTCGAGGGCCCCTTCCTGTGGGAGGCCACAAGGTAAGGACTGGGCCAGGAGGTTCTGCCCCGGGGCCCCTCTGACCATTGTGCGGTGTTGGTGGGCAAGAGGGAGAAGGAGGCAAGGGAGGAGACTGTTCCAGCTACAGGACACGAGCAGACAAGTGGTCGAAGGACAGGCAGGGGACAAGGGGAGAGAGGGAAACGATTCTGCCCCAGACCAGCTCTGTAACTGCACCTCGCTCCACCCAGCTGTGCTCAAGCACCTCTGAGCCCTGATCACTCACTCTGCCCGCGGCCTGCCCGCGGCCACTGATTCTGCGGTTCCTTCTACTGGGCATGCTCCCTCCTTCCCCTTCTCTTCCTCTAACGGCTTCTTGCTACTGCTTTTGTGTCTGTGTCCTCCTCCCCTCACTTCCCAACTGTGAGTTTCTGCAGGGTGAGGATCATGACTTTTTTTTTTTTTACGGCTTTACTGAGGTATAATTGACATACAATAAACTGCACATATTGCAGGCTACAACTTGATGAGCTTTGACTATGTGTACACCCATGAAACACCATCACAACCAAGATGAGAACATAGCCATCCTCCCCACAAGTCTCCTTGTGCCCCTTTATAATCCCTCCCTCCCTGCATCCCAAACCCCAGACCCAGTCCACCCTATTCTGCTTTTTAGTTGCAATAGACGAGCTTGCATTTTTAAGATTTTATATAAAGAGCACTGTGGTGGAACTTTTTTTGTCTGACTTCTTTTACTCAGTGTAATTATTCTGAGATGCCTCCATCCTACTGCGTAGAGTAACAGTTCCTTTTTATGACTGATGGCCGAGTTGTTTTCCCTTGCATGGATATACCACAGTTTGTGTCTCCATTCACCTGCTGATGGGCCTTTTGGGTAGTTTTCAATTCTGGGCCACTACAAATAAAGCTGCTAGGAGCATTCATAGGAAAGCCTTTGTGTAGACAAATAGCTTTAATCTCTTAGACTTCAGGGTTCAGCACACAGCCCAGTGCTTCCTCAGTGAATGAATAAAGCAGAAAGCCGAGGGTGGGAGGGAGGATGGGAGGGAAAGAAAGGAGACAGCTTTGCAGATCTGCTGGCTGCCAGGCCTGAACAACCCCTGACCCATTTCGGACTTCTCCTTCTTCCCACCTGCTTCCTAGAAGCCAGCCTGGCCTCCTGTCCTGAGATCAGTTCCTCACGAGCACCAGCTGACTGTGTCCTGTGTGCCCCTTGCCTTGCGTGGTGCCAGCTCCCAACCCCAGCCCTGCCAGGCTTCCTGGACCACATCCCAAGGGCGACCCTCTGTCAGCCCTCAGCCTGCTGTAGAATTTGAGTTCATGGTATGTTTTCAGAGATGTGACCTGTGGAACTGTGTGTATGTAAGCTTGTGGGCACACAACTCTGGGTATACTATTAATTAAACGCTTCCTCTGTGCTAGGCACTGTTCTAAGTATTTGACTAAGTGCATTATTTCATTTAATCTCTGAGGCAGGTACTATTACTCTTCTCAGTTCTACAGAATTATGATCCCATTTTCACAGAAGAGGAAGCCAAGAAACAGAGAGGTTAGGTAATTTGCCCAAAGTTACAAGACACCGTGCTGGCATTCAAGCTCAGCCTTTCGGGCTCCAAGTACTTCACAACTGTGTAGGTATGGACACAGGGCTATCTAGACATGTACAGTGATGGATCAGCAATGTGGCGAAGTGCAATGGCACGTTGGTCCATGTTTAATAGCCTGTTCTCAAGGGGAAAAAGCCCTGACCTGTAGTGTTAGCCCATTTCCGTGGTGTAGATACGCCCCCTGTGACCAGTTTCAAGCTACCAACTTGCCGTTACTGAACCGAAGGAGGCACTGGGAAGAGATGTGCAGGACCATACCATTATATAGGACTTCCACCATATTGATGGAGTAGAAACAACCTCCAGACCACAGATGAGAGCAAAATGTAGTAAAATAATTACAAAGTGATGCTTTTGGAGTATTTATTACCTTCATTTTTAATATATTTAATTGTAAGCATATGACTTAATTTTTAAAATAATGGCTGTACTTAAAATTTCTTGGGAAATTCAACAATGAATGTTCAGCCTGTTACAGGTCACCACTGGGTGTGTCTCTGTTTATCAAACTGTATAACTGGATAATTTTGGAGAAGAACAGCCACGAGCCCCAGTTGTAGCTAGACTCACAAAGCCTTGTGCAAGTGTTGCCAGCTATGTGTCCGTGTATGTATACCGGCTGGGAATGTGGATGCATAGCCAGCAGTACCTCTGCTCCAGGTGCAGAGCTGTGTGTATGTAGTTCAAAGCACAGTGCGTCTATTTGTGGTTGTGGGATATTGCCTGTATTATAACTTCTCCGAACATGTATGGCTGTTCGCTAAGTTTGTAGCTTTGCATGTCTGGGCATAGCTGTGTTGTGTGCATGCAGGTGTGCACCTGTCTTTGTGCATCTTTCTGTAAATATGAATAGCAGTGTGTCTGCCATGTCAGTGTCAGGAGCCATGTGTTCCAAGGAGTTACATTTGTGATTGCTTGTTTAGCTATTGTGTGCAGCTGTGTGTGCAGCTATGTTTGTCGTGTGTAATTTTGTGTTTGTGTAGCTGTGACTGTTGGTGTCTGGCTGCATGTCTAATGCTGTTCCGGTTGGTTGTATGCTCACAGCATCTGACCAAAGCCCTAAGTTGCTGGGACTTCAGTCATTGGCAATGAATCCTGAGCCTGAGCTGCAACGTGGAGGATCCGTCTCATTACAGGAAGTGAGTCCCTCTCCCTAACCACCACTGGGCGGGCCACTTTCACTCCCAGAGCGAGCCCCACCTTTCTCGGCCACAGGCCAGAGCTCTGTGCCCACCCAGATGCTGCCAAGAGCCGAGGTGCAGACGTGGCTGCAGACTGGCTCTTCACTGCACGGGCACTGTGCATCCCTCTTGGAGGGAGCTCTGGGTACTTCCACAGGAATCCATCCCTGAGGGACACAATTTCCTCTTTCCATTTCACAGAAGAGGAAATCGAGGCCCAGAGAGGGCAAGTAGAATGGTGGGCTGAGGGCCACAAAACGAGTGAGAGGGAGGCCAGGGCAGGTCCTTTGTCCTCAGCCAGAGCTCTAGAGCTCTACTCCCAACCAAGCTGCCTTTCCTCAGGCCTCCTAGCCTCCTCACTCCCCCCACTCACCCCTTCACCCAGAGGCCCTGTGGAATCTCCTGGCCCAAGCCTGGGGTCAACAAGGGGCAGGGCTGTGATGTGGGATTGGCCCAGAAGAGGTAGATTGGGCTCAGCCATTCCCAGTTGGGAAAGCTCCCAGTGACTTGAGGCTCAGATTCACAGATTTGGGAGGGTCCTGGGATGGAGGTGGGCAGTGGGTGGGAGTGTAAGGGTGACAGGCTCCCAGTACTCTGCAGAAATCAGTGGTTCATCTGTGCAAAAGCGAGTGTCATTCTCTAACTCTTACCAAGCACCAGTCCCTGAGGTTTACATCTCTTCTACCCTCACCACTTCCAACAGACACAAAACTCCAGTGACACTCCATCCCCAGACGTGGGTAATCTCACCTCCTTATAGATGAAGAAACTGGTGGGCTCTACTTCTTCTATTAGGACACCAAGTCATTACTGCCCATGTCTACTCCAGGCTATCTGACACTCCGCGGCTTCAGTGACCCTTCCCTCTTTCCTGCTCTGAACCCACCCTTAGGGGCTATCCTTTTCCCAGACTCCTAGGGTCTCAGAATGTGCTGGAAAGGCAGGTCTTCCTCGAGCACGTGGCCTGGATGGCGGGAGGAGGAGGGCCCTGGGACAGGGTGGAGTTATCCTCCCTTCTTTCCCCTCTCCGGGTATGCCCAGGCCCTCCTGGTCCCAAGGCCAGGCAACCGGGCAGCAGCCGAGGGAGGCAAAGATCACAGGGAAGATCAAACATTAACTTCAAGTCAGTCTGAGCTCTGGGATCCTCGCACTGAGCGCTCAGATCCCCGCAGGTAGGCCGTCGGCCCTGATTCCCCCTCCGGGTGGCGCTCCCCGCCCCGCCCCGCCTAGGCCTCCCCTTCCCTCACCCCACGGGCCCCGAGGGCGCTGCGGCTGCCCGGCACCTGTTCGGCCCCCGCCCGCCCGGGGCCGCACCCCGCCGCCAAGGGAAAGGAAAGTTGCAACAGAACAGCTTCTGGCGCCCCAAAGCTGTGGGGTCGCGGGACCTGGGGCTCTTCCCTCCTGTCCTCCAGATCCACTCCCGGGGTGTAGGGTAGACGCGGATCAGCACCCCTCATCAGGTCAGGCTTCTCTGCCCCTTCTCGCACCACCCAGGACTTTGGCATCGCCCCCCCTCCGGTCGCCTCTCCCCAGCTCCGCCGTCGTCGCCACTCCCCTGGCTTTGCACACGCCGTGTATCCCGGGACTCCAGAAGTCCTTTCCCAGGTCTGGTCTCTTCACTCGCTTTTCCGGGCCCTGCACAAGCTGTCCCGGGGCCCCCGAACTCTACTTGTCCTGAGGGATGTGCACAAGCCTCATCTACTCCGGGCACGCACGTTCCCGTCGAACCCCCAGCCGGCGCCCTGCACCATGCACAAGCCCACCCTGAGGTGCCCAGCAGCCCCCAAGGGGCAGCGAGCCCTGCACCAGCCGCGCCTCGCTCGGGTGCCTGAGTCCCGCACGCGCCTCCCGGGCGCCCAGCCAGCACGCGCCCCCGGGACTCCGGGCTCGCACGCGCCGCGCCTCCCGGGGGCGGGAGTTATGGCCCAAACTCTGCAGCCTCACCGTGTTCTTCCTGGCCACCATCTTCTCAAGCTTTTTGGCGATCCTCAGCAGCTCCTCTTCCTGGCCCATGTTGGCCCGCGACGCCCGGCGGGGCGAGGGGCGCAAGGGCAGCAGCCCGGCCTTGGGGGCAGGAACGCAAAGGCGGAGGGCGCGCAAGCCGCGCGGGCCCCAAACCCACACGACACACCGCCTGGCGGGGCGGGGCTCTCCCCACACACCCCTCCGGCCCGCCCGCCTCCCAGCCGTGGGGGGAGGGGTGGCGTGCACTAAATATAGATTTCAAGGACTCGCCCGGGCAAAGATTGCCCGCGCCGCCGGTCGGGCCTCCAGAGAGGGACCGGGCCGCGAGAGAGGGCTCTTCACCTCGGGCCCTTCCTGGAGGGCCGGGGGCTGAACGGAGATTTGGAGAGGAGGACTCTCTGGCGATGGGGGAGGCCGTCGTCCCGGGGCGAGGCCACCCTGTTGCGGCGAGGTGTGCGCCTGGAGATAACCCGGGAGCTCCGGGAAGGGCCTCTGCACTGTTTGCTGCGGCCCAAAGCGGGCGGACCTAGCCTTCGCTTTTCCGGGCCCTGCACAAGCTGTCCCGGGGCCCCCGAACTCTACTTGTCCTGAGGGATGTGCACAAGCCTCATCTACTCCGGGCACGCACGTTCCCGTCGAACCCCCAGCCGGCGCCCTGCACCATGCACAAGCCCACCCTGAGGTGCCCAGCAGCCCCCAAGGGGCAGCGAGCCCTGCACCAGCCGCGCCTCGCTCGGGTGCCTGAGTCCCGCACGCGCCTCCCGGGCGCCCAGCCAGCACGCGCCCCCGGGACTCCGGGCTCGCACGCGCCGCGCCTCCCGGGGGCGGGAGTTATGGCCCAAACTCTGCAGCCTCACCGTGTTCTTCCTGGCCACCATCTTCTCAAGCTTTTTGGCGATCCTCAGCAGCTCCTCTTCCTGGCCCATGTTGGCCCGCGACGCCCGGCGGGGCGAGGGGCGCAAGGGCAGCAGCCCGGCCTTGGGGGCAGGAACGCAAAGGCGGAGGGCGCGCAAGCCGCGCGGGCCCCAAACCCACACGACACACCGCCTGGCGGGGCGGGGCTCTCCCCACACACCCCTCCGGCCCGCCCGCCTCCCAGCCGTGGGGGGAGGGGTGGCGTGCACTAAATATAGATTTCAAGGACTCGCCCGGGCAAAGATTGCCCGCGCCGCCGGTCGGGCCTCCAGAGAGGGACCGGGCCGCGAGAGAGGGCTCTTCACCTCGGGCCCTTCCTGGAGGGCCGGGGGCTGAACGGAGATTTGGAGAGGAGGACTCTCTGGCGATGGGGGAGGCCGTCGTCCCGGGGCGAGGCCACCCTGTTGCGGCGAGGTGTGCGCCTGGAGATAACCCGGGAGCTCCGGGAAGGGCCTCTGCACTGTTTGCTGCGGCCCAAAGCGGGCGGACCTAGCCGTGCCTATGCCCAAGGGAAGGTAACTTGGTGTACTCGGATCACATTTTTGTGTACGATCATTAAACCCTACTTTTCTCTACCCTGTGCTCCTTCATTCGTGCACATCGCCTATGCACACACCTATATTCAGGCCCTTGTTGCCTTCTGTTCGTCACAGTGAGGTTCGACAGTTCTAACAAGCTTCCCGGGTGCTGCTGGTGGTGCCGTCCCAGGACTGCACGCTGAGCAGTAAGGGCTTGGGCGCTTAAGTGTGCCAAAATCTGAGAAATACTGGCTGACCCAGGTGCATGCATGCTCTTTATTTACTCAGGGTCAGACTACTGCCTCAGGCTACGGCCTCCCCCGGGGGGATTGGGTCTGGAAGGGTCATCTTAGGTGAAGGAGAGGAAACAAGATTGTGTGCCCCCACAGCTATGCACACATTCCTGTTTCCATGGAAGGAAGGGCCTTCCAAGTGTCTCCAGCAGACCTAGGAAGGGTACTTACACAACTGAGCTGAATTGACAGAAAATGATCTTTCTTGGGGGAGAGTGTTTAGGGACCTGGCGGGGAGGCATGAAAAGTGGTCCATGGTGTGTACAAGGTGAAAAGCTTGGGGTATTCAGTGAAATCTGCAGACTTTGCTGAGAGAAACTTAGCAAATCCCATCCCAGCCTGGGTCATGAAGATAGCAAGGTGTGAACTTACCTGGCTTCTGACAGCTACTGTGTGATCTGGCACCCAAGTAGGAAGGGCTGGGTTTTCCATTCATTCGATAACTATGCTTAAGAATCCAAGCATCAAACAAGAAACAGACACAGTCCTGCAAGCTTGAGATTTGGTCTATGGGCAAGAGAAATCCTAACCAAATTTGGATACAATCAAATCTGTATTATTACAGCTGGGGTGAGGGTCAGGCAGAAGGGGAGGATACCTTAAGGACACATCTGAGGGAAACTGCACCGGTTGGGGTATCATTTCCTCTGACGAAACGACATTTAAAATTTGGGTGGAAGTGCAGAGTGGCAGTTGAGGTTAGGCGGGAGAAAGTGTTCACCTAAGAGAGGAAGAAACATTCATTCATTGAATATATACTTACTGAGCACGTACTCTGTGCCAGGCAGTTCCAGCCCTGTGCATTTGAAGAGGAAAGTTGTGCTCCTAGAGTCCCTTATGTGCAAAGCTTAGGGATGTGACGGTGTTTAGTGTGTCAAGATTGGAAAAAATGGTGTGGCTGTAGCACAGAGATGGGCAGAAGGCAGAGGTGCCTGAGATCTGATTCCAGAAAGCGTTGTAGATCATAAAGTTGTGCTCCTAGAGTCCCTTATGTGCAAAGCTTAGGGATGTGACGGTGTTTAGTGTGTCAAGATTGGAAAAAATGGTGTGGCTGTAGCACAGAGATGGGCAGAAGGCAGAGGTGCCTGAGATCTGATTCCAGAAAGCGTTGTAGATCATTTAGGTTAGACTTTAACAGCTAGGGATTGGGGGAGGTCCCTTGGCCAACTCCCAAGTAACTGCAGACAGCTGTCCCTTCAACCAGAGGGGCTTGCTTGCCTTTAAAAAAAAAAAAAGATTTGATTTCCTCAAATTTCTACTCACTTTCCACCCTGAGTTTTGTGACATCAAAAGAAGCAAAGACTCCTATATCATTAAGCTTGAAGGACCCTAACAAGTCCAGCCCCTTCACTGTACAGATGGGAAGACTGAGGCTCAGAGAGGGCTAGGGTTGCACTGCTCAACCGCATCACACTGTTGGTACCTGAACAACAGTATCTGAAAGGGTATCTCGCTGCGACCCTCCTGACTCAGAATGACTCAGGAGACATGGGCCCATGCAAGAGATTTTATTGTCTGAAGGAGAAAGTGGCTGCCCCAGACGGGGGTGGGGAGAGAGGGAAAGAAAGAGAGAGAGAGGGAGAGAGAGAGAGAGAGAGAGAGCTCAGGGAGAGCAGGGGGACGGAGCGACAGAGACAGAGACAGAGAGAGCAGTGGGACAGAGAGACAGAGATAGAGACAGAGATAGAGACAGAGAGAGCAGTGGGACAGAGACAGAGAGTGAGCGACAGAGAGAGCGAGAGAGCAGCGAGATAGACACACAGACAGAGAGAGGGAGGGCAGCAGTGTGGTGCCTTTTATTGTGGCAGAGCCACTTGGCCTGTTGCTTTGGGGGAAGGTCGGATGTTTAGAGATAAGGCGGGGTCAGCCCCAGGCAGGCCCAGGCATAATTTTCAGGGGCTTATGTGCTTGGGACCATGGGGCAAAAGGAGGATAAATCATATATTCTTACAGGGCCCACCACGTCCCCCTTCTGCCTCCCCGGAAGCCACTGGCAGGCAGTTCCTGGACACCGCTCCAACTGTTCCCACGTCTAAGGGCTTCAGGGCAGCCTGAAGTGTCTGGGAATTGACAGCCCCAGGAAGGACCCCCCTCCTCAGCCCACGAGAGCCCAGAGTTGGTGGTAAACACACCGATTTCTTTCCTCTCAGTGGGACAACCTGCAGGCGTGTTCTGATCAATATAGGCTCTCAAAGTCCCCAATGAGATAAGCCCTGGTTGCTCACGGTAGTAGACCCTCACTCACATTTTATTGCTTTTTGACCTTCTATTTCACTTCCCTACCCCTCGCTATGTTTCCTTGGATCACCTCACAAACAACTTGCCCCCAAACCCTTGTCTCAGGGGAAATGAAATTGGGGTAAGAGCTCAGCTGCAGGTCTCCAGATTCCTAGTCCAGTAGAATTTCCTCCACACCAGGGTTCCTCAGCCTTGGAACCATTAACATGTTGGACTGGGTAACTAACTCGCTGTGGGAGCCTGACCTGTGTACTCTAACATATTTTGCAGCACCCCTGGCCTCTAGCCACTGGACACTAAGGGAAACGTCTTTGTTTTCCAGGCCAAAATCACCCCTGGTTGCAAACCACTGCTCTACACCAGGATGTCGAACTTAACTGGCTTAGAGAAAGAACTCCAAGCCCTAAGATTCCCTCCCGTTCCCCACTGCTCTTCAGATCACATAAATGAAACCACTAGAATTTACTCAAAAAAATCTTTTATTAGAGATGAGTGAAGTAACAAATCTGAGATGAACAAAACCAAACCTTGGGGGATTCCAAAGACAACCGTGTTCCTGTGGGATCACAGATCAGTCTGGTCTCCAGGGTGAATGGCCCAGCTCCCCAAGCCAGACTGCTGTGTGGGCCACTGGCACCCTCTGGCCTCCCTTTTGGCCTGTCCTGTCCCTGCCAGGGCCAGCATGCAGTGACCGTTAGAGGTGTGAGAGGCTGGTCATGGGCGATGGTGTGTCTGTTTTCAAAGATGGGGCTGAAAGCCATGGTGGAATTTCTGACACTGAGAAGCAGATCCTGCATGTCTGCCCTTCCATTTCTACCACTCTCCTTTCTCCTTTCATGGCCCTTTCCTCCCCTGAGGCTGGAAAGCTCCTGAGTTGACCAAGAGAAAGAGGAGAGCAGTGAAGATCCATCATCCCAGACCATTCCTTTCCTTCCTGCTCAATCAAGGAGAGTAGGCAAATGGGGGTGAGCCTTACTTTATTTCTTGGCTAGGAAATATACAAGAGGTTTCTGGGAAAACTGTGCTGTCCCTCAAAAGGAGTGATATTCAGAAGATTGACTTAACAGCTACGTATAGCATGGGCATTGACCAGTCAGAATGGATGAGGGCTGTAGACAACTGCAATTTCAAACAGGTGTAAACTAGCTGATTGTCAGTCTGCCCCTGAGCCCAGGACCATCCCCTGGAATCTAGCCCTGCCCATTCCCAAGCCCAGCTTCCTGGATTAGCTTCCCAGCAAGGGGCCACATCTGCACACCCTTGCCTTATTCATGTGCCATCTGGACTTTTTTCAGAACTCAATAGAGGAATACTAGTCAAATGAATGACTGAGAAGACAGTCCCTAGTCTGGTGGAATCCCTGGGCCAGGCATGGAGGATGATGAAGGTGAGCTGGTCCTACTCTTGTAGACCACAGACTGATGGAAGACACACAGCCCTTACTGAGGAGGGACTGAGGATTCTGCATCTGAAACTAGCTCTGGAGTACTTAGATCCAGCCACAGGGTTCCCTGGTCTCTCGGAGGTAATGACATAGAGGGAAAAGAACCACCATCGGCTCTTAGATGGAAGGGCCTGGTGTCCCTGGCAGGGGCAGGGTCGGGGGCCTATGGTAGGAAGGAAGGTGGGGGCCTATGGTAGGAAGGAAGGTGAGCCTCAGAGGTGCAGGAGAGCAAGACCTGAGAGAATGAACATCTCAGCTCCTCAGTCTTGTGGGCTCAAGTCCTAACTCTGAATGCTGGGGTCCTGCATGGGGACAGTTCAGACATGCAAGGCCCAGCAAGGAGCTAGTCTTTGCAAAACCTGCAAAAACTTGCTAGGAGAACTCCAATCCTTGAGCCCTGCCCTTCAGTGAAGCCAATCTGAGGAGAGAAGGATAAAAATTGACATTTTCCAAGCACCTATTATATACCAGCTGTTTATCTCACTCAGCTTCACAACTGACCTATTGTAGGTAGATGAAATTATCCTCATTTTAGACATTGAAATTGAGGCTTGAAGAAGTGAAGCCAGTTTTCCAAGGCCTCCATATTCTCAAGCCTGTACTCTTACTATCGCACGTCTCAACCACAGGCGTCAACTAAATGCAGGGTGGTGAATACTTGGTTGTAGACACAGATTTGTGTCTGGTGCTGGACTTTGATGCACTGAGGGTGATGATTCCTCAGAGAAATCTGGCTGCTGCCCCTGCCATCCCCCACTCCCAACAGGGACAGCCAACGCCATCCCCGGGGAATCCCTAGGGGAATAGGAACAGAGGCGGCTTCCTTCTCGGCACACCTGGCCCTGTCCCATGCTTACTCCCAGCTTCCTCAACTAAATATGTGCGATTGTGTGAGACTTCGTGATTCAGCAGGAAGAAGCCCAATTAAGGGTGACAGCTCTTACCTTGTCCCTGTCACATCCCTCTATGCCTGGGAGCCGCCAGCCTCAGCGGATTCCAGGAGACTCCTGCACAAGGGGAGAGCCAGGCAAACCAAGGGCTGGTACACAGCCGCCCGAATCCCAGCCCATCTGCAAGGAAGTGGTTCTCTTCTCCGAGTGGCCGGCACGGCTGACTCAGCTTTGCTCACCCTCCCCTGGGGAGCAGCCAGAGCTTGGGTCTCCTCCCCTCTGCCATTCCCTGAGTCCTGGGCTCTCCCCTGCATCACCCATCCTGAGCTGGAGCGGGAAGGAGAAGCTCAGGGGCTGCCTGAACGGCGGCCGCCTGGCTCCACATGTACACAATCCTGGCGAGAGGTCTCCTGCCCCAATACACCTACTCTTGAACACCTCTGCCTCCCTCGTACCCGCCACCACCCGCCACACCGCAGTCCCAGAGCTCCTACCGGCGTGTTCCTTCTGGGCGGAAGCTGCCTGGCTGGGGGACAGTCTTCCAGGCCCCGGCCCCCCCGCCGATAGGAGCGAGTGCTCTCAGAGCTGGAAGGCAGGGAAAGGCCGATGTGACCCCGGTGCCCGGAGGGCCCCTCAGAGTGGGGACAAAGGGCTGAGGGCTTTAGATGGGTGGGTAGAGAGTCCATGACCGGCTGCAGAGGCCTGGAGCTGACCTCCAGAGGGCTCTGGAGATTTCCCCATGTCTGTTCCCCAAGCCCCAAACTTATAGGGTTTGCAAGGAAGGTTTAGGACTGGAGTCTGGGTTGGAGGTGGACTGAGAGCCTCTAGAACAAGCTACACAGGTGGAATAAAGCCTACTCTACGCCGACTTCAGCTCCTCCCCGGCTTCCCAGGCCAGACTCGGGAGCATGCGCAAGAAGTGGGAGGAGGTCGGATCAGCCCCTACTGAATGTTTAGCGTTCTGTATCAGTCGTGTGCTCAGAGCTGGAAGGCATCCCAGTTTTCAGGTGGGCACCATTTAGAGGTGGGGAAATAAATGCACAGACAGGTCAGGATACTTGCCCGGGTTGCACAGTGGGGCTCTCACCAACCTGAACCTGACCGGGGGATACATCTCCACAGGGGTGGTTCCAGATGTCACGCTGGGTCGAGAGGGCCCTGGGGGCTCCCAGGAGCCCTCTTCAGAGCTGGGTGGGGTTTGGCTGGGACCCCCGGGTTCCACAGGACTTGTGAGGCTGGAGGAGGAGGAGGCTGGACTTCCCAGGCTCTCAGGGGCCCCAGGGGGCTCTGAGCTCAGGCTGGAGACTTCAGAATGATCTGGAATCAGAAGTGATAAAGCTTGTCTTTATCAAAGCAGTCTTTGCTCTCTAGGATCTCTCATGGCTCTCTCCCTGCCCCACTCACCCCTTCCTCTCCAGCACTCCCCTTCAACTTTTCCTAGCCAGGCTTCAGCCTCATTCATTCATGAAAACCAGGCCATACTGATGCACAGTTTTGTTCTGCTCAAACCTTCACCTCTGTCTGGATTCTCCTGCCCATCCCTTAGGCTCAGTTCAGATGCCACCCCCACCAGGATGCGTTCCTAAGCCACCCCCACCTCCACTCCCAACAGGACATGCTCCTTGCCTCCCCTGATTTCCCAGAACAAGCCTGTTTGTTCATTTTAACAGTTCTTAAGAACAGCCAGTCACTGGCTGTGTTAGGTGCTAGAGATAACAGTCAACAGAACACAGTGCCTGTTCTTTTGGGGATTTACCATCTATACCACATTGTGCCTTATATTAGAAATGAATTGCATTCCAGTTTTTATTTCCCCCACTAGACTGTGTCTCAGTAGCTCCCGAAGTATTTGAGACACAGTGTATTATCAATAAACGCTTCTTTCCCTTTGCTTTTAAGTGAAGCATTGACAAATTTGAGTAAGACAGACCTGGGTTTGAGTCCTGGGGACTTATTAGCTGTGGGGTCTTGGGCCTGTTACTTAACATCTCTGTTCCTTGGCCTGTAAGGGGAGAATGATCACCCCATCTGACAAATGATCATGAGGATGGGATGGACTGACGCATGCACTCTTAGCTCAGTGCCCCAGCACACAATAGGCCCTCAGTGAGTGGCACGGTGAGTGGCAGCCAACCATACCTGCACTGGCATGTCCTGCACGCCCCTGGACCATAGTCCGAGAAAGGTTTTTGACAGGCAAGGGTGGGGGACAATCCTCGCTCGGGTTCTGAGAGGCAGCCGGTGCCATGCTGGTGACGGTCTCATACGTCTTGTTGCTGATGTCTATCCTCCCACTGGCCCAGCGGGCCTGGGTTGGGGGCTTCAGAGGGCAGCGCTGCGGGGCAAAAGTGTGGGAAGCAGGATAGCCTGGTTCCCCCAGGCCTGCCCTTCCCACCCCCACAGATCAGGCTGGCTCTTTCCTAGACGCCCAAGAGACGGGGCTGGGACCCACCTTTTCCTCCTCGTCCTCCTCGCTGTCGGAGCCAGGTTCTGTGGAAATGCCCCAGGAGTAGTCCACGTGCAGAGGGAAGACGAGGGTCCCAGACTGGGCCTGCTCCAACTGCCAAAAACAAAGGCTTGGCAGTTCAGAGGGTCAGGGGCTCAGTGGAGGGAGAGAAAGGGCCAAGGGCTCCCCCTCCATCCCTAGACCTCACCAGCTCCTCACACTCCTTGTGCTCTTTCTTCCTGGCTATGTCCAGAGCTGTCTCTCCTGCCTCGTTCACTGTGAGGGGTAAAGTTAGGGGTCATGAGCAGGGTCAAAGAGGCATTATAGCTTAGAGGTTAAGATGGGCCTCCGGTATCCAATTGTGTTGGCTCTGCTGCTTCCTGGCTGTGTGACCTTGGGCAAGTTACCTAACCTCTCTGGGCCTTGATTTTCTTATCTATAAGATGAATATGATACTTGTAACTACCTGATGAAGTCGTTGTGAGGATGAAATGAGTAAATATGTGTAGAATACTTGGCCCACTACCCGGCACATGTTAAATAGTAAACAGTGGCTATTATAATCACTATTACTCAGATTCAGCTAATATTTATTTAGATACTTTTAGGAACACTATTTAATTCTACCCTCTTCGCAGGTCAGTGATATTATCCCCATTTTACAGATGAGGAAGCTGAGGTTCGAGAGGTAAATGGACAAACCGCAAGGTTACAGAGGTGGTCAGAGGCAAGCTAGGACTAGAACCCAAGTCTGTGTGCAAAGTCCATGCTTGTTACTAGAGCTCTCTGTTTGGAAAAGAGGCAGGACGTCCCCCCCCCCAGGGGCAGTCAGGAACAGGAGTCTGAGGGAGGCGGTGCCCGGGCCCTACCTCCGCCAGTGGATGCTCTCCCTTTCAGCAGCAGCTTGAGGCAGTCGGGCTGGTTGTAGAGGGCAGCACAGTGCACAGCGCTGTTCCCGTCAGCAGCTTTGGCATCCAGGTGACCACTAGGTGGGGTGGGGCCGGGGGAGAGGTCAGGAGGAAGGAAGGGGAACAGACAGGGGAGGGGGCCAACGTCAGGGAAGAGGAGACAGGAGACCAGAAGAGGAAGGGAAGCGGGGAGTGTGAGGAGGCGGGCAGACACGCAGGAAGGTTCTCACCCATTTTGGATGATGAAATCCACCAGGGGCAGGGAGGCCTGGTTGGCGACTCTGACAGCCAAGTGCAGGGCGAGCTCTCCAGGCGCCTGGATACAGGTCCACACCTCTGAGTTCCCCCAGTTTATCTGCCCCAACCCAGTAGTACCCTCTTAAACTTTTACTGCCTCCTGACACCTCCAGATATGAAGCTGCCAGAACCCGAGGGAGGAGTGGGAGTGGATGGAACCTCCTGTCTGGGAGGGGGAAAGGCCATTCCTCACCTCTTCCTCCAGTGGTTCTGCCTCCTCTTGCCCCTAACAGAAGGTGTTCCCCAAATTTGGTCCTGGGCCCCGGGCTCCTTTCTCACTGCCCCTTGAGACCTCAGCTCACCTCACGCTTCCAGCCTTCACTCATGGGTGGGCTGTTCCAAATTCTTAGCTCACCGGAGTGCTCTATCCTCACTGCGCACTGGATGCCCCAAGATATCAGGCAGAACAGCTCAAAGACATGACATCCAATTTTGATGTCCAATCAATTAGCAGCTCCTATCGATTTAATCTTTCAAATGTCTCTAATATCTTTTCGCCCTGGCTCACATTTGTTACTGGAATCTCTAATGCAGTGCCTTCCTGATCTAATCTGACCCACCCTTAGCATTTCCACAGCTATTCAAGAACAGAAGAGATGCTAACATTTACTGCACAAATTTTATGCACTTGGCCCTTTATGTACATGATATAATTCTCACTTCAACCCGGTGGGTGCTATCATTAACCTGTTGTACAGGTGAGGACATGAGACTCAGAGAAACTAAGTAACTTGCTCTGGATCACACAACTAGGAAAAGACAGAGCCAGGACTCCAGCCCAGCTCTGCTTGCCTGAAGTGCTCTCTCCCATTTACCCCTCTGATGGAAAGAGTCTGGGCAGACGTCAGAGATGGGGCAGGGGGGAGGAACGGCAGGTTCTAGAGAAGGGGGTGGTGGTGGAGTGTGAGAGCGCGGCTGGATTATAAGCGGCCCTTGGAGATGGTTCTCACCTGCCCCTCAGGCCCTGGCAGCAGCTGTCCAAAGTCATGCCCATTTGCGAAGGCCTCTAGCACTGACAGGAGGTCCCGGTTGCAAATGGCTGTCCAGAGCCTCTGCGGCTCAGGCGTAGACTGCCGGGCAAACCTGTGCTCCACATACTTGGCCACAATATAGTCTCTGCGGCTGCTCCTGTGAAAGACGACCACGATTTCAGAGCAAGGGCCATTTCCACCCAGCTGACCCTTGGAACCATCCCACAGGTGATAGGGACCTCCTTGTTCCCAGAACCCTATCCGGGACTGTTCCAGAACTGAGGCTACCCTCTCTGCAGACTTCTGGCCCGAGATCCTCTGAGACCCTGGGAATTGGGAGAGTGGAACCCCCCAGTCAGGATGTCCCTCCATCTGAGAATCCCCTTACATGTCACTCTCAGCTGAGGGTTTGGGGCCTCCGTGTGAGGGCAGCTGGGCCTCCATGACCTCATTAAAGCGCGAGTTTCCAATGTTTAAGGCCAGCTGTGGTGGCGAGAAAGCAGCGCGGGCGAGATCGCGTGGTTAGGACAGCGCCCCCTGGAGGACCGCGCTTCCAGAGGACCCGCCCCCCGCCCGCTTTCTGGCAAGTCAGGATCCTGCCACACCTCATCCCGCGCTCAGATCAAAATACGCCCTCAACCCCGCCTCTGGCCCCGCCCCAACCTCACCAACAACTCGGAGGGACAGAGCAGGTCCAATGTGAGGGATTGCATGCGCGAGAAGCGCACACCCAGCTCGCGGTGGACGCCCGAGCACTGGATGCAGGTGAGCACGCCCAGGTTGGTGCTCAGCCACGTGGGTTCTGGAAAGTAGGGCAGCTGTGCCTGGAAGTGCGGCCCCTCCCCTCCCCTTCCACCTCCCTCCTCGCGGCTCCACGGCCAGACCTGCAGCCCTGCAGTCACAGCACTGGCCATTCCCGGGCCTGCTCTTCACTTCGGCGATGAGCAGCTTCGTGAGGTCCTGGGGCTCCCCGTCCAGCGCAGCGCTCCCCCAGGGCCCCGGGCCGCCGCTGGACTCCCCGAGGAAGGCACTGCTCAAGGCTTCATCCTTGCTGTTCTGCAGCACTGACACCCACCTGTGGAGTGTGCAGGGTGGCATGGGGTGACACCCGCAGTAGTGGGGTCCTCTGACAGGCCCAGAGACTGGGCCTTGGGTAAGGCCACGTTATCCCCTCCCCCAGGCTGGCCGTGGGAGGGCACTCACGCCTCACACTCATGTTCGTCCTCCGCCTGGAAGTGGTATGTCCTGCTGTCTGTGGGGAGAAGAGTGGCTGTCTGGCTCACAGAAACCATGCTGGCCTTCCCTGGGCTCAGAGAGCCTTCACCCAAACCACTGGGTCTGCTGGGGCTTTTGTCCCTGTGGGCCCAGGCTCTGCCTAGTGGGGAATGGGGCAGGTAACGACAGCCACCAGCAGGAATCACCTCCAGAGTAGAATCCCAACAAGGCCCCTCTGCCTGAAGCCCTGGTTCCAGGGTCTGGGGAGGTTTCCCAGGGCACAGGACACCCCCAGCTCAAAGGCAGGATATCCTCTGAACTTACTGCAACACCCCACTTGGCCTCTCAGCCCTGTCTGTTCTCCCTGCTCCCTATCTCTCCCCCTTCCTCCAGCCTGTACCAGCTGCCAGAGGGTTGTGCCCAAAGTTCTGCTCTAATCATGTGCCTCCCCTGCTCCAGGACTCTCCATGGCTCCCTATTGCCAGGAAATAAGATCTAAACTTTTAAGAGGCATTCCCAGGCCCCATCTCCCACTACTCCTATGTGAACCCTGCCCTCTGGCCAAACTAGCCAGACCCACTCTCCTGCTTGCACGCTTTTCATCACACCACTCGTCTCCTGAAACATCCCCCGCTTAACACTGCATTCTGTGTCCTTCAAGGCTAAATTCCAGTGCTTTTCTCCTCCTGGTTCCCCACAACAGGGTAGGCCGTCCCTCTCTCCAATCTTTGGTGGTGCTAGATGTGCACCTCTCTTTTGGACACTCCCTGTCATCTTGCAGTCCTGGGTTCCCACATCACATCCGTGCCAGAGAGTTCGCAGAGGATGAGATCTAGGTGTTTCTAAGCCTGTGTTGGCCCCCATGTAAGGCCTGTGGCCAAAGGCTCCAAAGGATGAAAAGTGAAAATTTTACTTTAAGATAATAATTTCAAAAGCCAAATTACCCAAATCCTTTTTAATATACTTTACAGAAATAATCATAGTTAATGTGGGATGTGGGTGCTTTTTAATGTTTAATGTGACGTAGGGCGAGGCCTCTAGAAAGAGTGCCCAGGGCCTAAGCAGTCATGCCGGCAGCGGCAGCTCTTTGGTGAATGCGTGTGGACTTGGACGCAGGCCCCTGACTGCAGCCTCCTGGGAGCTGGCAGGTCTCTCAGTGGGGCCCTGGGCAGCTGTGGGCGAGGGAGCAGGGACTACTCACGGGTGACCAGGTCGAAGCACTTTTTCTCCTCAGGGTTTGGCCTCACTTGGCACGTCAGCAGAGTCAGCTTGACTGGGGGCCTGTTTATCTGTGGGAAGTTGGGGGTGGAGGATGTATGTGCTACCCTGGGCTTCCCAAACTCCTAGGGCTCTGTTTCCCAATCTGTGAAACGGGTACTAATAATCCTGTTCCAGTTTACGCCTCCCCTCTCCTGGCATCTCAAGGGTGTGGACTGTGGGCCAAGAGTGGGTTGGGGACTTTGGGTCCCATCCTTCCTCCCACAGGGATCTCCAGCAACCCGGATCCAGTTTGGGGGCCGGTCTTGAAGAAAGGACTTGACACTTGTCTACTCAGAACACCAGGAGGGAGAATTCACTGTGTCCTGAGATACCCCCACCCCACCAGGCTCACCATGCTGTGTGAAATGGTCAGGCAGCCATACTTGACTCCACACTTTCTTTTCTGCCATACTCTTCGAATTCTAGGACCCAAAAGGATAGACAGTGACCCAAGGCTCACGTCTAATTCCTTCGTATCAGAAGATAGTTCTGGACCAGGTTGCCAGCTACAGGTGCATTAGCTCCAGCCACATGTCTCTACCTCTTCCATCCCGACTCTCCACCACCCCTCATTTTCTGGAGCTTTCTTCTGATAGAGGAGGCACAGCTGTGCCCTAAGGAAGCTCCCAGTCTGACAGGCGAAACACAGCCCCACTCTCTGGAATCCTTAGTCTAAAGGGGACCATGTGACCTTGGCCTTCTGAGAGCTTCTAGTCTGATGGAGGGGACACAGCTCCCAACTTCAGGTGGCCCCTAGTCTGAGAGGAGGATCAGGCTCTTGACCACAGCAAATGAATTATAGTTAAGGACAATGCAAGACAAATATTGAGACCTCAAAATAAGAAATCAGCAAATCCTGTAAGAGATGAGTATTAATTGGTAGAACAAAGTTATTCTTCTCTGATAGAAACTGATTAGTAAGTAGAAACATGAACTCATTCCATCAGGGCCTGTGCATATCAGACTGATTTTTTACACCAGAGAGCAAGGCACAGTCCACACTTTCACTTCTAGGCATACTGAGTATATTGTAAAGATTAAGGATGAGCGGATGGGGACTGTCTAGGGCATAGTAAGTGCCCAAAGTGTGAGCCACTGCTATTCTTCAAGTTAAGAACCAGTGATTTTAGCAGAAGTCCACATAATGATTTTACATTGCCAAAGTGGAAGGTCCTGGAACCCTCGGTGTCTATAAATATTAAGTCCCTTTGGGCAGCTCCCTCAACCCTGGTATTTACTAGCTGTGTGGCTTTGGGTAAATTACTTAAGCTCTCTGTGTCACTTACCCATCACTCTTCTTATAGAGAAAGCCCACCTTCTCTGTCCCAAACTGCTTGTTGCCCTGGTGCTGGTGGATGCTGTAGCCACCTCCTGAGTTCTTCCGGCTCAGATTCTCCTGTTCCTTGGACATGCAAAGGAGACCTCAGGGTGTCTGGGTAGGAAGAGCCCCCTTCTGCGGGGATCTTACCCAGAGAGACATCTCAAGGGGCCCTGGGTGGTTTTCCTTCTCTCCCTCCCTCCCTGGTGGGTCTGAGAAAATGGACTTTGTTTTTAGATGATGCAGGGGCTGACCTCTCTGCTCTCAAGCTGCAGCGTCCCCCGGAGGGAGTCCCGGAGCTGGGTCAGCTTCTGCAGCTCCTCCTCCTGGGCTTGACGCAGCTATGACAGAGGGTGGGACCCCATCATCAACCCGCAGATGAGCCAGATGCAGAGCCCAGACCCAGAGCAGTGGGGCAGCAGCCTTGCTGCCAGGGCAGGAGCCAGCTCTTCCACACCCACAGTTTCTCCCAGAAGGACAGGGCCTTGACCACATGAGCAAGGATGACACCTGACTTACTGCATGTACTGAGGCCGCCAGCTTCTCAATGAAGGGGGAAAGGCTCTGAGCAGCCTTCCAACCATCTTGGAAAAAGCTGAGGTGTGAGGCCAAACATGGGACCAGAGAGAGAGATGAAAATGAGAGATGAGTGAGAAGTATAGAAGTTGCTCTAAGGCTCATAGGGCACCTGGGGGCAATACAGCCTGACAGTCAAGAGCAAGCACTCTGGAGTCAGTATCTTTACCCACAAGATTTACCCACAAGCTACCAGATCCCACTTGCTAGCTGTGTGATGTTAGTAAATCTGAGCCTCAGTTTTCTCATCTATAAAATGGGGATAATAACTGTACATGCTCACAGAGCAGTTGGGGGATTGAGTGAGATCAAGTGTGTAAAGTACTTAGTGCCTGACCTAGTGAGCACTCAATAGAAAGCATTACCAACAGGTGCAGACACACAAGGTAGTCCTTGAGGGTCTGCCAGACGCTGGGAATGGCCTTGTTCTTTGTTGCCTGAAGGGTTAAGGGGCAAGGTCATGGCAGTAGGGTGGGGACGCAGGGAGAAACCTACTTGTGCTGGGCATGGAAGAACTTGATGAGGCTCTGCAGGAAATCAGGACCTTGCTTCATCTGGCTCTCCCCAGCTTTCAGCAGATACTGCACAGAGGCAGGGCAAGATGTGAGCAGAACAGAACGCTCGAAGGCAGACAAAGGGCTGCAGTCCCCACCCCAGGCTAATCCTCTTGGTCCCTGATTGAACCTTGGTGACAGCTCAAGGGCCATGTGGCCAGGACCCGAGCTGAGCCTCTGGGGGTTCTGGAGAGGCAGACAGGAGGACATCCGGCCCGCCCTCACCACTGGAGCTCCCCGTACCTCACACATGTGCAGCTGGAAGATGCGCCGCTCTCTCTGTGTGTCCTGGGCCACTTCCCCAGGGCTCCCTCCTGTTACCCTGGCCCGGTCCCTCTCCTTCTCCAGCTTGACCCTAGGACCCAATGAAAGAGAGGCCTGAACACCTCTCCCTATCCCCTCTCACATCCCACCATCCACACTTGCTCCTCTGCCACACGGGAGAGAGGGGCTCCCCGGGTGCCAGCTGTGTGGTGGGACTGGGGTACAAAGAGGAACTAGGCGGATTCAGGGAATCCACAGGCTAGTGGGCAGGAAGACTGAATCAAATCTCAGCAGTGAGAGGGTGATGGAAGAGTAAAATGGGAGCCCCGACTTCATCTGGCTGCTCAGGAAGTGAGGTTTGAGCTGGGATCTTAAGTCTGAGAAGCTGCCTTGGAGGAAACTAGGGCTGGTTAGGAGGCTCAGACCATGTAAGAGCCCTGAGGCAGGAGGGATCTGGGCTCATGGGCAAAGAGGGAGAGGGAGGTGATTCCAGGTTAGGTAATTCCAGGCCATCCAGGGCCTAATTCAGACCTTGTTATGGGAAGGAGATGAAGGTTTTTATGCAGGGAGGTGAGGGGCTCAGATTAGGGTCCAGTAGGATCTGGAGTGCCCAGTTCTGATTTTGGTGGAAGGGATTTAGAATCATGTGCGTTAGAAGACTTCAAAGTGCCTTCATTCTTCTGAGCCATGAAGTGTCCCATTTAAAGCTTGGAAAACCTCTGGTGTTCTTTTCTTTGTAAGTGGAGACAGAAAACACTTCCCATCCTTGTAGCTAAGAGTAACCTGGGCCTTCCCTCTATAGATCTGAACTGTTGGCTGTTTTCCCTCTTGGGGGATGGGTAGAACTGTATGTAAATGGCTTCCTGGAAATCCCACACCCATCAGACCACCCGATCCCAGCCAGGAGAGTTTTCCACATCTGGGGCTGGGTTGGGTGCATGGGACCATGTAAAGGACACATCTTGCTTAACAGCTTTGCTGCCACTTGAGTGCCAGCCCTGAGCAGAGAAGATGCATGTGGGATACATTACGGGCTGCCTTGCCTCCCCTTTCTGAGCCTGTCTTTTCATCTGGAAAGTGGGGGTCCTTATCGGTACCCAGATGAGTAATGTATGCAAAAGACTTAGCACACAGCTATATTATATGGTCCCCTCCAGGCCTCAGTTTTCCCACCTGTAAACTGAGGAAGCAATGGCCTAGAATGAGTTCTCAGGTCCCTCCTGGCTCCAAAGTTCTGGGCCCTACAAGTCTGGCCTCTGGGATAATGTTTATATGCAGCATCTGTCCTTGAAGACCTGTAGAGCAGGTTCTCAACCTTGGAACTGCAGACATTTTGACCAGATAATTCTTTGATGTGGGGGCTATTCTGTGGATGTAAGTTGGTCAGCAGCATCCCTGGCCTCTACCCATTAGAGGCCAGTAGGATCTCCGCAGTTGTGACAACCAGAAAGGACTCCTGGGGGTGAAGGTGGGGATGCAAAATTGTTCCTGGGTGAGAACCACTGCTCTAGAGCAGGGTTCTGCAGGGTTTGTTCATTGCCTTCAATTTTCTTAGCAGTGGCTATTTTTCATTTTCCTAAAGCTTTATGATACCCCAAGAAGGACTTTGTGGCAGGTAGTGGAGTTAGGATTTGGACTGACCCTGTGAACCTGGGGGTCAGGGCGGATGCTTTTCTGGGGATCTGAAGATGAGCAGCAGAGAGAGAGGCTGCAGTGTGTTAGCGACAACAAGCCTAGCAGCTGGCTAAGGAGGGAGACTTAGCAGGCACAGCCATTGGAGGGAGCAGGGGAATCTCTTGGCTACATTATTACCGTATCTCTGAATACTGAAAAATAAAAAATAAGCTAAATGTCTATCCACAGGAAGTGCCTAAAGAAATTGTGCTATGTTCTTACATAGGAATACTATACAGCTGTTAAAAAGAGGACAAGTGATATAAGCTGACAGGAAAGATACCTGCTTCAGAGTAAATGAACAAAAATGAAGCCACAATATAGAAATGTGGGTTCTGGATTTGAATAGCAGCTCCCTCATTTACTTAACCTTTATCATCTTTCCAAGCTTCAGTTTCCCCATTTCAAACATGAGACTCATACTGCCTAGTTCTCAGATGATATAAATGCTTGGGAAACATTTAGTACAGTCCCTGGCATATGGTAAGCCCTCAATAAATGGCAGGATTATGAAGATGCTAATGATACTGGTGATTATAGTAATAACTATTGGTGAGTCCTCTAGATAAAAAATTTTCAGCATAGGGTACTTTCTTATTTACTTGATATTTTTTATAGGGGGGCTAGTGGAGATTAAAGGATAGAAACTAGTTAATTTAGGATGAAGATAAGCTGCGAAGTACTGTATGTGGCTTTGTAAATTGCCTGTCCCTCCACCTCAGCTATGGTAATTTAGAGATTTACCCACAAAGTCTCACATAGTCTCCTGAGAGGACTGACACACCTCAAACTAATAGCTGACGAGCACTTTCTATTCTACTGCACACATCCCCCAACCAGAAAACAGCAACTCCACTCCCTCCTGTCCTCAAAGGGTCACCAATATTTTATGAACATTTCCAGTGTCAGGGATATTTTTATTTCCTCTAAATGGAATTGTTGTGGAAGGAGTGAAATGAAATAGTGAGTGAAAAGCACTGAAATGCTAGTTCCTATGAAGACTGAGGTAACTGGGGGAGCTGACTACCCAAGAGTCTAATATTCAGAAGATGGGGAATGGGGGAGTGAGGAGGTCAGGGAGGAGGGTGGGGGGAAGGGCATGGAAATGAATCATGCACCTGCCACCCTGCCACCTTGAACCACCTCTCCTGTAACGCCTTTTACCAACCACCCTTCCCTCCACCCAAAAACAGTGACCTGCCTTTTTCTGCCACCTCTCTGCTGATACTGTCCTTATGGCATTGGCACTTTGTATTTTCCTTACTTAATGGCCCACCTTTCTTGTCAAATCGTGGGATCCACTAAGGCAGGGACTGTGGTGGTGGTTTTCTCCTCCTGTCTTACATATGAATTGGGGATAGTAAGAGTACCTTTCCTTGCCAAGGGGAATAAATCTCTGATTAACAGATGTAAATCATTTATCATACTGCCTGACACAAAGGAGTGTAAGTGTTAGCTGCTAGTATTACTAGTTATTATTTTTAAGCACTGATTTGGGGTGTTCTTCTGGCCCTGTCACGCACTAAAGTGACAACCCGGGAGGCAGGAATCATACCCCTTTCACAGGTAAGGAGCCTGAAGCAGAGGTGTTAAGTCACTTGTCCAAATCACACAGCTGTTAGGTTATGTGAACTCAAGTCTCTCTGCTGCCAAGCCTTGGGGATGGCACAGGTCATCAACACTGGGCTCCGACTTGTTCCATTCCTCCCCCCCCTGACTGGTTCCCCCAGCTGGTGGTAGTCACAGTGTCCTTTCTGAGGGCTCACAGTCAGGGACTATTTGACAGAAGATGCAGCTGAGACCTAGAGAAGGGGAGTGATTGCCCGAGATCCCAGGCTGGTCAGAGAAATACGAGTAGAACTCACGGCCTCTGCCTCTCAGCCTCTTGCTGTGTTATTCTGGTCCCAATTGGAGCTCAGAAAAGATGGCCAATAAACACTTGTTGAACTGTAGTGCCAGGTGCTTTATATACACTGCACTTATTTTATCCTTACTTCAACCCTGCTAGGTATCACTGGTCCCATTTTTCAGATGAGGAAACAGACCTGCACATGGAACAGCCTAGATAAACTTAGCCCCTGCAGAGGGCCCCAGGTGCCCTTCTCAGCAGCCCCTGGGGAGAGCGGAGCCTTCCTCCTACATGAACAGCCAGGGGGTGAGATTCCTGGGGGTATCTGACAGATGCTATCAGCTGCTGCCCAGACTGGTTTGGTAAGACTGGGCTGGAATTACACAGCCACTCACAGCTGGCCAATATCCAGCTCTACCCAGAGCCTTCAATAAAAGGAATGCATACAGACACCTGTACCAGGACATGTAACGTGCCTGGCAGGAGCCAGGAGACCACGTAGCATGGCAGGAAGAACACTGGACTCAGAAGCCGAGGGTTCTAGTTCAGGCCCTGTTGATAACTTACTGAATACCCTTCACCAACCTCCTGTCCCCATCAATTACAGAGAATCTTTTCTTTACTAAAATGCAACTCTACAGGCGAGATTAATAGACAAATCTGGTAAAAAGCAGAGCTGCGTGGGGAAGGTCAGCAGGGCAGGGCTCATTCTTTCCATTTGGTAAGTGAAGCCCTGAAAGGTGAAGGGCTTAGGGTAACTTAGGAAGACAAAGACCGTGTGGCCCCACATCAAATCTTAAGGAGAAAGACAGGCTGCTTGTCCACACCTCAGCCTGGGCCTCTAATGAGAAGAGAGGGCCACGCCCATCACAGCTCCTGTCATCACAGGACCTACGTCCACAGCTCGAGCAGATGGAGATGCTGGTGGAGGGAGAAGCCAGGGCCTGCCTTCTGACTCGGGGAGGTCCCCATGGCCCTGGGAGCTTGAGAAACAATAAGCTCCAAGATCTACTTCTTGGAATTGATTCTACAGAAATAATTATGGGTGGGAGCAAAGATTTAATTCCAAGAATCCTTCCCCAATGACAGCGGTGGATTAAGCACATTACGATTATGCATATGTTGGCACACAATGCACCCATTTAAGTGACATTGTATAAGAATATAATGATGCAGAAAGGTGGTCATGATGTATTTTTAGGTTAAAAAAAGTATGAATTTTATGATCTCAGTTTTGTAAAAATATTTCTCTCTATATAGAAAAATGTCTAGAAAGATATTCATACTTTAGGCTTGGAAATTAAGGATTTTCCTCCTAGTTTCTGGTAGTTTCCCTTCCGCCCACTTTTTTAAAATGATAACATTACAGTGCTACCCATATTCTGTTAAAAAAAAAAATTCAAGCAATAGAGAAGTACTAGATACTCCCACATGACCCTAAGGATAATTAAAATATTTTCTCTTTTACTCCTCCATATTTTCTATGTTATTCATAATGAGCATAAAATTTTATAAAGAATAGCAAACAGTGCTGAGGTACAGTGGGCCTGGCTGGGCCCTGAAAGAGGACTGGAGCTGGGAACTGTTAAGAAGACAGTCCCGAGCTGTCTGCTCGGGGAATAGGCCGCTGGGTGCCTGACGCTCCTTCTGTCTCCATGGTGTCCTAGTAGCTAGTGAGAATTCTGAAGTATGGTGTGGTGCACACAAGAGGCCTGGGTATGACATCAACCCCCTTTCCTCCTTTATGGTCAAGGAAATGTTTATAGATACTGCTTGGTGTTGCAGAAAGATGATCAAGGAGCATGAACCCAGCTCTGCCTCTGCTTAGCCTAGCTGTGTGGCTTTGGGCGAGTGACTTAACCTCTCTGAGCCTCCAATGCCTCCTCTGGTAATTGGGATACTAATACTTCCCTTACAGGGCTGGGTGATTGTGAGGATCAAATGTCCGGCACATGGAGCTGTTCAGTAAATGGCAGCTCCATTCTGTCTCTCTACCCACATTTGGCACCACCCAGCAGATGTGCCTCTGCGAGCAGCATTTTGTGGCCCCTTCACAACAGCTCCCCTTTGGTGGTCTCGTGGTCCAGCCCCCAGACTCCAGTCAGGCCTGGGCATAAACCACACCCATAAAAGCTTCTAGAGATGGAGATAGCACTTTGGGGCAACATGTGCTGGCAGCATTTACATTCTTCCTGATATCCAGCCTCCTGCTGCAACGTAAGTGTCAATCTCCTGGACAAACCACCCTGGCCATGGCCACTTACAATCTGGCTTCGTAGTCCTTCCATGCCTTCTCCAGCTGCTTTTTGGAATCCTGTGGTTTAAAAAGAACAGTTGGCCTAAAGGGGCACATGGGATCAACAGTACCCTTTGCTACCTTTAGGGGGAGCCTTTGCTGCATGCTCCCCTATGATGCTTAGAGCCACACTCCCCAAGCCCTGCCCCTACATTCCTGACTACAAACCCAAACCCCCAGAATAGACCTAAATGACCCCATTTCTCAGGGATGGGCCCCTTCTCCCACCTGACCTCCTCCCGCAGTTGCAAGGAATCAACTTTATTTGGTGGGCTCAGGCCTGGGATGTGGGGGGATTTGGGGAGTCAGCATGAGGATGAGGATGGGAGGATGTGGTCAGTCTCCTCCCTAACTGTATCCCACCCTTCTCTCCTGCCTGGTGCTAGATCATCCTCTCAACAGGATGGGTACAGATAAAGTGGCATGAACAGAGAGCCTGAGAATTCTCCCCAAGACTACACAGCAAGCCAGTAAGACCTGGCTGATCCCTGACCTAGTTTACCTGGGCCTCTTCCAGCCCAGCTGACTCCCAGGGTGCCCAGTCAGCCAGGTAAAAAGCTGCCTGTCTGGTTTGGGTGGTTCCCAGGCTGATGCCCAGCCCAGGGCCAGGAGGGAAGCCTCTGGGGGTAGGACAGTTCCTCCCCTGGGCCTTTTGGGGCAGACTTCCCAGGGAGATCATTCTGTCACCTTTGAGCTCTAGTCCGCCCTGAGGCAGGGGCTGCCAGATCCAGAGAGAGCAGCCACGCATGGCAGTCAGGAGCCCTGGATGCCACACCAGCTTCCCCACTGACTAGCTGTGTAAACTGTAAGCAGGCTACCAAACTCCCGGAGCCTAGATTTCAACTGAGAAATGGAATACCTACAGCACCCACCTCATGAGCTATTTCACATAAGGGCCTGGGCAGACAGTGGGTCAGCCATCCTAGGCTGATCCCAGAGCAGGGTCCTCCCATCCTTCTGAGCGTCAGTAATATGGGGCCAGCACTCCCACTCTGACAGCCTACTTGGCCTCCATCCTCAGCCCAGACCTACCTCCCTCAGTCTCCTGTCCACCCCTTTCTCACTCTATCCCACCATCTCTGGGCGCACCCGCTCTCCGCACGGAGACTCACCTGTCGCCCATCCCTCAGTTGCCCCTTCAACAGACTGTCCAGGGGGAAAGAGACAATGTTGTTCAGGTTCTGAACCTGGAAAAAAGGAGAGACCCCCACACCCTGCCCTGAGTGACTGCTGGCCTGGCCCCAGGGGCTTGGGGTACAGAGTGCATCACAAGGCACACAGCACTAGGGGCAAAGGAGGCAGGGAGAGAAAGATGTGAACGTGGAGGTGGAAGAGTGTGGCGGAGCCAGCCTCTCAAAAGGCTGTCACCACCTCCCAGGACTATGGGCCTCGCACCCCACACTCCAGGAGCATCCCAGCAGCCCCTTCTCTGGGCCTTTGCCAGGGGCACCCTCTCCTCTCCTCTCTCTCTCTGAAGCCCCTGTGGTGCCCAGCCATTGTTTTTGTCTGGCTAGTTCCTTGCCCCTTTTAATGTGGGAATCCTCTCCCTGTGGTCACAAGGGGTAAACACAGGAGGCAGAGCTGACCAGAGGACCCCATCCCAGGCTACAGTGATTGGAGCAGGAACAGGCACGTGACCCGAGCAGCCAATCAGGATCCTTCCTGGGACTCTTCTGCCATGGTCATAGGAGAAGGACTGTATCTTTCTTCTGGTAAGGTGTGAATCTGGCCCTGCTGGACCATCTTGCCCACTGAGCAAAGACAGAGAGAAACTAAGAGAAAAGAGAATAAGCCTAAAGCCAGTTGTATGTCTGGACTTCCCATTATCGAGGCCAATGAATTCCCTTTTAAAAAATTAACCTAGTTGGAACTGAGTTTCTGTCACCTGGCAGCCCAAAATTTCAGCCCACCTTTCTAGGTATACCCCTGCCTGTGGCCTGTGCTGACCTGTCCCTTTCTGAACCATGGCAACACTAGGCCCCTGGGTCCTTGCGGTTGTGGAATTGATTTCCACTGCTGGAACTGATTGGTGTTGCCTCACATTTCCTGTCTCCTATCCCCTGAAACCTGACTCTTCCCTGTGTCAGTGCCCACCACAGAGTGGACCCTCAGCAAACACTTGTTTGACTGAAACAGGGGAAGGAGAGTGAAGACAACAGAGGCCACTAATTGAGTTAACACCGTTAACTCAGTTAACATTACCTCTTGAATTCATTTAAAACTGTTAAAGCCTCTGTCTGCAGGACAGTTTGCAAGGCAGAATATTCAAAGAGATATAATGGTGAAAGACAGCAACATTAACTGACATTTCCTGAGCGCTTACTCTGGGGTAGGTGTTGAACCTACATGATCCTCATTACAGCTCCATGAGGTGGGTACCACTATTACCCCAAGTTTACAGATGAGAGACCTGGGGCTCAGGCAGAGTGAGTGACTTGCCCAGGGTCACACATCTAGTGAGCAGCAGACTGGGGATTTGAGGCCTGAGTCCCAGGCCAAGGTTGGATGCCTAACCATGAAGCCAACTGCCTCTTGGAGATGATGGGATCTCTCCCAGCTGGGACAGGCCCTGGATGGGACTGGGAGGGAGGGGGTTTCTTGGGAGGCTCTACAGCCAGGCTTGTGCTAGGACTCTGGAACCAGACAACCTGGGTTTATATTTGGCTGTATGACCTTGGGCAAGTTGCTTAACCCTGTGTCCTAGCCTCCCAGCCTGAAAAGTGGGGACAACAGTAAAACCAAGCCCACAGAGCTCTGCTCCAGGATTAAAGGCGGTAACACACATGAAGTGTTGAGAACTGTGCCTGCAGGCGTGAAGTGTCTCAGGTGGCCTCGAGGTGGAGATTCGGAGGACAGAGACGAGGCAATCTCAGAAGGAACCTGAGGCCACTGGGCCATGTGTAGGAGCTGGGAGGCTTGTTGAGGTGAGGCAGGTTCTAGGCTTTGAGGACAAAGCACAGTGGTTGGGAAAGTGGAGGCCGAAGAGAGTGAACAAGAGACAGTGGTGCAGTCAGGAACCCGGGGGTGCGCCCTCTCCTCTCCCGAATCTTCTCTAGGAAGCCCTCCCTCGTGTGGGGATCTTCCCCTCTGTGAACCCCCCGCAGCACCCACAGACTCACCCCAGAAGAGAAAGAGGACGGCAGGGAGGTAGGGAGAGAGGGAGGGAGAAGACACAGGGGAGAAGTCATAGAGGAGGAAGAATGCAAATGGTAGGTTAGAACTGGAAGGGGACCTCAGGTCATGGGTCAGAGGTCAAGGAGAACCTGGGAAAAGGGTAGAAACCAACCCTTTCCCAGTCAGGTTCCTAAGCCTGCTAGATTTACCCTGAGCCTGGGGAAGGTCCTCACCAGGTTCTTGAGGAGTGCGGCCACCTCACGGGTGAACACAGCCAAGTTCAGGAAGCCAGTGGACAGCTCGTGACTGTTTTGGGACAGGTGGCTGTTGCCTAAGGACTCCACGGCCTCTCGGTACTGCTCCTCATTCTCCACATGACCTGTGGAGGTAAGGAAGGGCGGAGTTAACTGCAGGCTGGGGCTGGGGCAGGGGCTGTCTGGCCAGGCCAGGCATCCGCAGGCGCACTCACCAAGGCCGGAGCTGTTGATGGCCCGCACAGCCTTCTTTATTCTCTGCAGGATGACCTGGTCTCCTTCCAGGATCTGGAAGCAAACATGGACAGAGGTTCAGGGATGCTCAGCTGGGAGGGGTGCCTGACTCCCACCCTCTATGTGCACACAGAGTTTCCTCTCTAGGGTCCTACAAAACAAACAGACCACCTCTTCCCCGCAGGCCATATGGGAAACCATAGGTCAGTCACACTACTCCAGGAAGACCACTTAACTCCAACACAGGCCAAGTAAACAAGGCCATTTACAGGGCATGTGGCATAGTGGGGTATGCAGACCTGGGTTTGAATCTCGGCTCTGGCACTACCTAGTGTGTCAGTCTAGACAAATCAGTGAACTTCTCTAAGATTTGGGGGCCTGGTCTGCAAAACAGGGATGACACTACAGACTCATGGAGTTGCTGAGAGAATGAATGATTTAATGAATATGTACAAAATGCTTAGCAAAAGGCCAGAGGAGAGAACGTGGACATCTCTACATTCTCAAAAGACATAGAAGGGAGAATGCTTGTTCACCAACTCCCAGGCTCAATAAGCAGCCACGAGAGGATGAGGAGGAAGACCTGGGATCCCGTAGGTAGGCGGGGAGCTGAGAGAGAGTAGAGGGGCTCACTCAGATCCCGCTGGAGAGAACTGGTTGGAACAGGCAAGCCCAAGGTCCAGGGCTGCAGAGCAAACAGCAGGCTGTGGAAGGCCAGATGGGAAGCAAGCAGCAGGACTCACATGCCCCAGGAGACAGCCCGGGTGGAGACCTCCCAGACACACTCCTCCTTCAGTGGTATAGAAGCTCCAGCCTCATAAAACCCTTGTGAAATGCATAGTTTAGCTGGAAATTATAGAATGTCAGGCCTGCAAGAGCCCACAGAGCCACAGATGAGGAAACAGGCCAGG